TCACATCTATAAAATCTATCTTTAAGCATCACTTGATATGTATCCTCACCTATTTCTCTTATGTTTTTAAACTTATTTGACATACATGCAACGCGTGCCTTCTGTGCATTCATTATTTTAGTCTTTGCGTAATTTTGTGTATTCATTGCATCGTAACCATATGATCCATTAAGTGAAATCTTGCAAAATAAACTTTTTCCTTTATTTCCTTCTAATTCAGCCTTTTGTCTTTCGTTCATAAATTTGTTCGCAAATTCATTAAAACAAGTGTTTTTAGTAAATGTTAAAATTGATTGAATGTCATCAATGATAAAATGAAATCTGTCTATTAGATACCAAAGATAATAAGAAGAAAATGGTTGATATTGGTTGTGTGTTGATGCTAACTGAGTTAATTTCCTCTGTTTCTGGTCAACTGGTAGATTGTTTGATTTCATGTAATTATACATAAAACTGCCAATTGTTTTTTCATCTGTGATAATATCTAAGTTTCTTATTATCGGTAAAAAGTTTATGTAATCATTAATGTATTTTTCATCAATGTGACCCTTTACTTCAGCCACGAATAAAGTATTTTTCTTTCTAATAATTCCCAGTGCTTTTGCTTTCTTTGTTGCTGTATCACAAATGATAACACCATTCAATCTTCCCGGCATATACATTTTATGGTCAGTATATTGAATGAAATCATGAGGATTAGATGAAAATGATGAAGGATATAATGAATTAAAATCAACACCAACGAAATGAGTCATAATGTTGGTGGTGTCCTCATTTGATACAGTTTTAGTTTCTGGATTATATGAAAGTTTATTAATGTGCGTGATTCCTTTAAGATTTACTCTATGTTGAACATTTGATAGACCACCAGTAATTCCATTACGGAGAATGTGATAAGCTTCAACTGAATCTAAAGTCATTGGTAAATTATTTTTTAATGCATAATTTCTTAAATTGATTCTTAAACGTTGAACATCTTCATTTTTATTTGATTTTACGACATTGCAATAACAACACATTAACTGACAATTTTCTTTGGTATGTGGTTTTTCATTATCTATTCTATCCAATGTTGGTTTATTTGCATATGTAAACGCTTTACCACACATTTTGCATTTAGATGAAAGGATTAAATCATGATAGTATTGAAAATCATCCATTGAAACATTGTTTTTGGTATCTCTTTTCACCTTTTCATCTTGTTTCTTATATGAATCAATTTTATATTTCCAATACTTTTTCGTTAATTCAAAACTTGATTCCACATTTTCTTCTTCTGGATATGTTTCGTTAGGATTGAAGTTCTTATATGCTAACGCGTAACGAATCATTGATGCATTCGATGATAAAGAAAGATTATGAAGCATATCAATTTTATAAACAAATGTTTCTTCAATAATTTTATCAATTGGGTCAATCATAATTTCAACATCTTTATTGCAATAATGAATAAAATATTCTAATCTATTCTTAAAATTTTTAGCATCATTGAGATATATTTGATAATCACTATCTGATATTGTTTCTTGTGTTAATGCTGAATAAAATGAATCTTTCGTGAATGGTTCCTCTTTATATAATTCATCTTCGTAATTCTCCCATGTGATGAATTGATAAGGGAAAAAGGATTTAACACGTGATTTATTGTTTCCGAAATCTTGAGTGAATTGGTCTAATGTTCCACCCGCTATATAATTTCTGATGTCAATAAATCTTAATTCGTATGGACAGTTTGTTTTCTTTACTATGACTTGCTTAAATTGAGAAGATGAACCCAGCATTGATTTTATTTTCCATTTTGCAGTATTTAAATCACGAAGAATTAAATTTAAATCAAACTTTCCCGAATTAAAACCAATGATATTCACTTTATTAAATTCTTCATCTAAAAGCTCTTTCATTGCTTCCTTTTGTTTCTCATTTAATGTATGGGACAAAGTCCCCGCCGTTTGGTCTGAAAGACCTTCAGGACTCAAAGAGTCCGTTTGCGGCTTCATTAATTCTTCATATTGTTCAATATTTGATTTAGCAACTAATGAACAGGTTGAAAATAAAAATTCAATCCAATCAGAGATGAACGAATCACTCGAAGTTAAGCAAAAATTCCTCGTAAATGTTTTATCGTTTAATTTAACCGTTGATGATACCATGAATGGTTTTAAGTAAGCGTTCAAAGTTGCACATTCAGAAAGTTGAAGTTCTTCTTTAGTCTCTAATGTTTCGAAGTCAAAAGTAATATAATATCTTGTTGGTTTATAATATTCCTGCAAATTATGTGCTAATAACCACTGATATATCTTCTGTTTCGTGATATGTGGTGTATATGGTTGTTGTGTGTTTTGCAATTGAACGTCTTGAATTAATCTTCCATTATTTTCTTTACATTTCTCACAATGTTTTAAAAATCTTCTTTGGTTTTTCCTTTCTGGATCATCACGGATAGAATAAACTTCTTCTTTGCAAAAGGGACAAACTTTATATCCTGTGAGTGCTTCAACGTCTGTAATTCTGTCAGCGTGAAGTTTTCCACATGGACTCTGTGTTAATAAAATATTTACTGTTTCAAATTCTGGATCTATCATTATTGATTCCACTAATGGAAAGTCTACCTTATTTATGTCCACGTCTTCTGGTTGAGGGTCACAATAATAAAAATCAATATTAACGTTTAACATTCTTGCTAACCTCTCACTTTCTGATGAAATGTCAAATCCTTCATATGCATCTATGGCTTCATTTAAATAACTTCTACGAGTTTTAGGATTAACACCATCAGGAATGTTATAGAAGCGTTTAAATAACCTTCTACCTTCGGCTCTTATTTGATTATCATTCATTTTTGCTGTTCCATTTTTATTCATTTATGTAAGAATAAAAATTAAAAAATAAATAAAAATAAAGTTTATTTTTTTTTAAAGTCCGAGACTCAGAGAGTCCAGGGCTAAAGTCCATAAAATGAATTAAGAACACATAAATTTTTATCATCTGCGACGTGACGAATACATTTTAATTTACTCAAGAATGCGTACCCTGATACATTAAATCTAATTCCCGTCTTATTTAATTTCACAACTTTGAAAAGGAATGTATGAATAGCTATAAAATGATGAGAAGATGTTTTATGGGTTGCTTCCATTTTTTCTGAAATAAATGAATAAATATAATGTTTATAAGTTTTCATATCTTTTATGTTCTTAATAACGAATGGTATAGACCTTTCAACTTCGTCTTCCTTCGGTGCTGTTCTTTCATATGAAACATTATTGGTATCTTCAATAATGAAACCACAATCACACAAAATTTTATAGGTTCCAATGGTTTCTTTTGATATTTTATCTAATAAATCAAAAACTTTATCAACACCTGTGCATTTATTTAAATAATAATTTGTGTAAATATCATGGTCTTCTTTCTTAATCGTATTTGTTGCATATGTTACATTTTTCAGTGCTTTTTTGAATTTTTCAGAATCAAGAGGAGGTGAAAGTAATATACATGGATAATCTCCATCGTCAATAAACTGAAGCTTATGTTTATGAATAAATTTTGTGCCTTCTTCTGAAAGTGTTTCGTCAATATCACCATCTAATAAATTTTTAGTAGATTCCAAAAAGTAATTTTTATATCTTTCCTCATGTGATTTTTGAACTTCTGATTCTGAAGCTGGGATATTCATTAAACCCTCTACTTCATTCTCAGCATTTCTCAATTCCTTAATTTTTTCATCTATTTCATTTCTTAATTGTTCCAATTTCTCAATCTCATCGTTATAATATTCATCTTGTTTAATCCGTTCTTCATAATATTCAGGGAAAACATCAGGTTCTTTAGGTTTTTCTTCTTCAGATGTGGGATATAAGAAATTTATAACATCATCTTTATTCATTTTTCCATCATAATCTAAATCATTTAATAACTCCGCGAATTTTTTACAATTTCTTAAATAATATTTATCAACTTCATAACCCACCTCCTCTAATATATCCTTTATTTCCTCGTTTGTGAATCCTAATTTTTTAACGTTGTTAGTTTTGACGCTCATTTCATACAAAATAAAAAAATTAAATAATAAACATAACTAAGTTTTAATTTTTCGTAAGAAGTTTATGAGGTCTTTGATTATGACTCCATTGATTCCATGAAATTAAATATTCTTTATCATTATATTTATACCTCATTAGCTTATTTTGGCTTTCATATTCATTTAATAATTCACAATCTTCATTTTTAAATTGAAGTTTAACCCATTCAGGATTTAAACAATGTTTAATTAATCGCGGAATATCTGACATCATCTATATATAGCTTCTTTTATAAAAGATAAAAAAAGAATTTATTTTAAAATTAATGTTAATTTTTTAATGATTTATAAATAAATATATTTTAATGCATCGTCTATATATAGATGTAACAAAAAAAGTCACACAACCCGCATCATCTACTACTTAGCATTTAAAAATTTTGTTTTGTAAATATTAGAATTATTTTATTTTAAAATAATGTTTTATTATACATTTCGAGCATTATTTTTAACTACAGAAAAAAGGTGTAAATTATTTAAAAATTGTATTGATCATAAAAATTTCATTGTCACTATTCAAATTTTTTGTAAAGTTTTGAACTCAAAAGTCCAAACAATTTTGACTATTTTTTGAAGGAAATTAAGACTAGAAATTATCTCGGACTATTTCAGAGAATTGAGTTCCGCTTCGCTCCACTCAATTCTCTGAAAAGTCCGAGATAATTTATTAAATCTTAAATTCGAACATTACGAGTCTACGTAAGACATAAGCACTGATAATAGCAAATTATTTTGAAAGCATGGGCAATATTTTCAATTTATACATCTTTTTGGCGGAGCTGCAAATCGTCATATCTCAATATCAGTATGAGTTAAATAAATTGCACCAATAAAATTAAATTGACTATCACTTTTTTTTCATGATATTAGCGTATAATTTAAAAATTAATGAGGTTTAAAAATTCATGATTTATTTATTTCAGTGGAATAATGATTTTAATTTCAAATCATCTGAGTTTTTCTTTTTATTATTCTTTGATGTCTCGTTGATAGCACCATTTTCAAGCAAGAGTTCAGCAATCCTTTGTGAATTTGCTCTTCTAGCAATTTTCAATACTGATGATCCGGATTTGTCCTTTGCATTAACATCAGAACCATTTTTGATGAGAAATTCTGCAATTTCAAATGCGCTGTTCTCAGCGGCAGTCATTAGACATGTTTTTCCTTCATCATCTATAGCTTTGACATCAGCTTTATTTTTAACCAAAATCTCGACAATAGAAGGAGAATCTTCAATTGTAGCCAACTGAATGATGATTAAGTTCTTCTTTCCATTGTATTCTCCTATCTTTTCATTAATATTTGCTCCATGAGAAATAAGTGCATTGGCGATCTCTTCATCATGAACAAAGCATGAAATATGTAAAGGAGTAACTCCTGTTGCATTCTTAGAATATAATTTAGCTTTTGCATTAACATCTGCACCTTTCTCAATAAAGTAGTTAACTAAATTGATATTTGCTGACTGTACTGCATAATGTATTGGCTGTGTGTTTGCTGGCGATTTAGAATTAATGTCACAACCCTTTTCAACCAAGAAAGAAACAAGTTCAACATTACCACTCATTGCAGCAAAATGAATTGCTGACAATGATAAATCTCCATTATCACAAGATTCATTGAGTGAAGCTCCTTTTTCAATTATGTATTTAACAATCTCGAGGTTGCCAAGTCTGCATGAAATGTGTAAAGGAGTTTCTCCAAATGTTCTTTCATCTTTTTTGTCTCCTTTATTACGAGAAATTGCTTTTGCATTGACATCAGCACCATTATCAACAAGAAGTTTAACAACAGAGAATGAATTTGCTTCACAAGCGAAATGGAGGCTTGTTTTGTCCAAGCTCTTTTCGTTCTTGTAATAATTGAGCATTTTGACATCACTTCCATTTTGGATTAAGAATTCAGCAAGAGCTTTCGATCCATATTGAGAAGCATACATCAAAGCAGTATCTCCATTCTCAAAGTCATCTTCATCATCGTCATCATTTGAGATATCTCTGTCATTAATGTCACCTTTGTTTTGTAATTTATAAAGCAAGGCTCTAATATTGATGTTATTTACGCATTCAGCAACAGACAAAGCGTTCTTCTCAAAGCCATTCTGGATAAGCCATTCAGCAAAGTCATTGTTATGTGACTTTAAGCTGTATTCGAAGCATTCGTCAAATTTGAGACCTTTTTCTTTGAGAATTTTTGCAATTTCGATGCTTTCGCCTAAACTTGCATAATAATCTGTTTTATTTGTGATTTTGCAACCATTTTGGAGTAAGAAGTTAAAGCAATTTACTGAACCGAACTGTGATGCAAACTCGATTAATGTCATATCTTCAATTTCTCTTGTGAATTTGAAGTTCTTTGAAGAGGACATTTTTTGAAGTTCTTCAATTTTGTCCCACATCAAAATGAACTCCAAACTTTTGTGATCATAATCTTTGATGAGTGGTTCATCGTCTTCGTATTCATCTTCATCTTCTTGTGGTTCTAAATCTCCTTTGTGCTCAAGTAATTCAACAAATTCTTCACTGATTTCTTTCAAAGAATCTCTTGAAAAATTCGATAAAAATGTTTTAAAAATAATAGATGAAACATCAGCTAGATTAGTTGCCTGCTTAGGATGTGATGAAGCAAGATCACCGATGAAGTTAATAATAAGAGATCTTTCATCAGGATTTGATTTGATAAATTCAATAACTTTGGTTCCGATTTCTTCTGTGTTTTCATTGGATATCTTCTCTATTTCATCAGTAATAGAAACAATGTCTTTCAAAATTGGTGGAATTTCAACATTGATCAATGAAGTTGAAGACATTTGAAAAAAAGTGAAATTGAAAGAGGGGACAAAAATTTTATTCCCTCTTTTTAAGACTAAGCATAGAATAGCATGACTTTTCTCTTCAAAAGCAGCTTAACATCTTAATGCAAATCTTGTTGTTTTTAATCTAATCAAAATTTGAACTTAAATTTTCGCTCCATACCAAGCTTAAGATATTGTCATATATATAAAAATCTAAGTGTTTCTTTTCGCAGTTTTAAGGCATGAAATTGGGAAAATATATCTATCAAATAATGAGATGAGAATCAATGAGTATAATTACTATACACTATATCTTTATTGAAAATGATTTGAGGTAATGTTTATGCATTAAATGAAGAATTAATTAATAATTTTTATGAATATAGTTTAATAGACAAAAACATTAGATCGATGGTTTTTGTTTACTGATAAAAATAATAAAGGCAAGTAGGAACCTATTCAAATCTATATGAAAAATTGAGATATATTGAGATGAAGAGAAAAAAAATGCATTTTTATGCAATAAAATGGTGCTAGATATAAATATTTATAAATAAGTTTATTCTATTAAATATCAACAATACTCAAAAAGATTAATAAAGCCAGCGCTACGAAGAAAACTGCAGTAGCAGCATACAGTTTGTTAAACTTAACTAAAGACTTCAGGTATTCCAATGTGTTCACCTTAGTCTCCTCAAGTTTTTCTTCTTTTTGAGATTCAAATTTTTTGGTGTCACTTTTTTGATCGGAATGAGAATTTTGGCCATCATTTTGTTGGTCAGTAACTCTTTGATCTTGAGGGATTGTTGTTGGATCTACCAAACATTTAGCGACATTAAATCTAACTATCAACTCCTCAACTTGTTTCTTCTTCTCCAAAATCTCTTTTTCACGAGATTTGAAATCTACAACCCTTATTTTGTCCTTTTCTATCCTCTTATCATGTCCATCCTGTTGTGTTTGACGTTTCTTGATTTCGTCATTTGTTAGTTGGTTAGTTTTTTCATTTTTACTGAGCATTTCTTTGTAATTCTTGATTACAGTGATTTTTTCGAGCTCTGCTTTCGCGTCTTTGACGACATCTGCCTTAGGATTGATCGGCATTCCTGGATCCAGCCTCGTAAGGCCAGTCATATAATGTCTAACCTCAATAATGTGGCCAGGAGCTGTTAAAGCGAAATTATTAGCGAATCCGAGTATTTTTCCATTGGAAATAAGCTCGGTGGTGCATCGCATTGGCTCTTCGCCTTTCCATGGCCAGAATCTTTGAACTTCATTTGGAGTTATATTCACTGGATCTGGACAATTCATCAGTTTCGGAGCGGATTTGAGGACAATGTCGCTCTTGCCAATGGTTTCAAGGTCGTAGATTCTGTTTGACATTGGAGAAAAGTCAATTTTGGCAAATGTGACAAAAAATGGTCGAATTAAGTTGGATTTGTTGTTATCGCTTGGATCAGAACGAGCACCAAGTAGTATTAAGTCTGTTTCTCCTTGTGAAAAGAAGGCAAAAGAGGTCATACTCATATTATCTTCAAGATCCGGACGAATCTGGATTGGAGTAGAAATATATGGACAGTGGATGCTGAATTTCTGTATTTTTCTTAGATTTTCGTATTTTTGATTAAGTAACAATGAATCTGGAATTTGTTGGCCAGGTAACAGGATTGGAGAGATTTTATAGAGGTTATTCTTGGGTGTATTGTATGTAAATACGAAAAGACTGTAAGGAGCCCATGAATTTTCACGATTTTCCGTTGATCCGAATGCAATTTGATAAATTTTCTCACGAATATTGAAAATTTGCTCTGATTCTCCTGTTATACAGTTAATAACTTGTAATTCACCGGATTCATAAGCAATCATTAAATAATTTGGATTTGTTGGGAAAAATTGCGCATCTACAATGGATTTATTAAGAATTTCTAATTGATTTACGTTTTCTACAAGTCTTGGATTATGGAATTTTGCATTTGGATTGAAATCGAATAAATGAATTGTTTCTGTTGAAAGATAAAAAAGTTTTGTCGCGTTATTATTGCTTCTAAGTAATAATGGTGATATTAAAATCTCGCTATTTACTTGCATATAATAAATTGGTTGTTTTTCCTTGCTTTTTTCTGTTAAATCGATGTATGCGATGGAATTTTCTGTAACAAAGAAAACATATTTATTAGCACTCGAGGATACAAGTGATGGCCTATCTTGGCGCGGAAAATTAGCAGGAAATGTTGGTTCACTTACTAGAACAAAATTTCCATCCATAACTTTGAGACACAGAATAAAATTATGCAGGGTCCAGTCACCAAAAAATTATAATAGAGATTCTATATTTGGAGAAAGAGAGGATATATTCTATATGAATACATACGTTTTTAAAAGTTTGAAAGATTTATTAGGCATTCGTGTTATGCAGAAACAATATTTTTTTTCTTTTGACTTACAATTAGACTTAGTTCAATGAAAATGGAAGACCTGTTTCATTGTTAGCGAATGAGAGAAGTGGAAGTGTAAGATTAAAAGAATATATGTTCATTTTTTCTGTATTAAATGAACAATTCCAAATTCGTGCAGCAAAATCTCCAGTACAGATTGCAGTCGTAATGGAATTATTACTATATGCACAAAATATAATTTGTATTGTTATTCCCAGAAAATTGCGGATTTTAGACATGAGCGATAATCAAAATAACTATATTTGCCATTTTTGAGGGAAGAATCACCGATTTTTGAGCTGGTACTTGTTTTTAGCTTCTGATTAAAAATTATTCATGCAATTGGGAACTCAACAAATGATTAAAGGGTAAATAAATGATTTATACAAATGGGATTTGATTCATGATTATCATTAGATACGAAACATCAAAAATGATCCCAAAAATAATAGCCAGAATAGTACCTAAAAAATAATGAAAATCCTATATTTTATTCTTTCAAATTATTGGGAATTAAAATGGCAAAATTAATCATAAATTTCACTTTTTGGCGGCACCGGGAAAAACCCGCTAATGGAAAACACCAACGAAGCAGACTTTGATCAAGTACCACAGACATCTCCTGTTCACAAGCCTGCCTTTGATTATGACTTTGACATAGCCATGGCTCTTCAGTCTCCTCTCAGTGCGCCGTTATACAGTCCTAATAATTCACCGTTTGGTCCTTTCGATAAACTAGAGGATACAATCCCTACATATTCATTCGCAGACTTTGGTGTACCTGTACCGACTACAACATTACAACAAGAACTTGAAAAAAAGATGGAAAAGCCAGTTACACCTAAGAAGAATTTAATGAAAAAGAAAATTCAATTTGTGTATCGTCCATTTGTTTCTCTAGAGGCATCAGAACTTACTGTACATCAGTTAAGATCATTATTATCAAAACCTCCAAGAAAAGCAAACCAATCAAAAGCAGCCTCCTACTCGTGTATTTAAATAGTATATGCACATGAATTAATGAATCAATATTTGTGTGAATACCAAAAATTAGATATCTTTCGTCAAAAATTGGTATTGTTTCTTTTTTGTTGATAATAAACATGTTGTATCTATCTTTATAAGTAACTACATAGAATTGCAACTGAAATTTGTTAACCGTTATGTCATTGTTTAAAATCGATAGAAAAATTTACTAGATACTGTCTTTTCATTAATTATTACATCATTTTTGCTATTGAAAACCACGAAATGAATATTAGCATATTTATAAAGTCTTTTATTAAACATATATTACAATGATACAAAAAATTAAGAAATACAAACAAGATATTAATAAACATTAACATAACAATGATTAATATGATGGATTCAAATCATCCAGAGGCCTCAATGATGGTTTCCGATTTGAACCTGGAGATCTTTCACTTTTCATCTCTGTTTGAGGTCGTGATGGCGTTCTTTGATTCTGAAATTCACCATACATTACTTTATGAGCTTGGTTTGCATGCGGAGTTACTGACGTTTTTGCAGCTGTGAAATCTCTTGGGAATCTTGGTGAAACTCCAGGAGAAACAATAGCGCTTTGAACTTCCCTCATTGCACTATGGATTATTGATTCGAAATTCTTTTGCATTGAATCAATTTTTTCATCAAATGTATCAATTGTGGCAACTTTATCACTTAGTTCATCCAATCTCGATGAAATTTTGTTTAATTTAAGTCGAGGTATTTCAATTCCCTTTAATTCTGCAATTTCATCTTTAATTTGTGAAAGTTCTGCCTTTGAAATAGCTTTAAGTTTAAGTTCCTCAATAACATCTTCCATCTCTTTCAGTCTCGTATCGTTATCTTTTGGTATTTCTCTTTCTCCATTATTTTCCCAAACTTGGTTAGAAAGTATTGTAAATTGATGGTAAAAACCATTCAAAACTTTCTGTACTGCTGGAGCAAACTGCATTAAGTATTCAAAGTAGTCTATAAACGATGTAGCAGTCGAAATTCTTGGAATTTGTGGTTTTGCTTTAAGATCGTATTTTGGCGATTTAATCCACTGTGGTAATGGATCGTTAGGATTTCTACAGATTTTTCTTGCAACTGCTTCTGCATTTTCAATTCGATTTGAAAGTGTATTAATTTGAGCTTGAATCATCTTAATATCGCTTCTATCACCTTCTGTAGCAAGATGGATGGCTTTTGTTAAACTCCATCCTTCGAATTCTTCGAATGAATTTACTTCCATGACATGAGCGAAAGAAAGCTGTAATCGCTTAAGTTCATTCATTACTTGAGCATGTGATGTTTTAACATCTGATACTGCAGCGCGCATTTCGTTAAATTCGAAAGTTGGCTTCGTTAATTCAAAAACTTTTTCTTCTATTAATGCATTTTGAGCTCTTACTACGCTGTTGATTGAGAAGATTGCATCAGTTAATTCTTTTTTGGTTGATTCTTTGTTAGCACTAAATTGCGAAGTAAAATCCATTTTAAAGCTGTGTAGTTCTTTTGAAATCGATTCTTTAAAGGAAGTGTTATCCTCTTTAAGGATATCTACAGTCTTTGAGATAACAGATATTTCTTGTCTTGAAGGTTTTGTAGCTACATCATCTTTGAGTTGTTTAACTTGGAATTCAAGAGCTGTAACCTCATCCTGAAGTTTTTGAAATACTCTTTGAATAACGACATCATCAATCTGGATTGAAAATAAAGATTTTCTCGGTGAATCTTTGAATTCATCCATTTTCGATAAAAAAATGAACGTTTATAAAATTTTTGTAAACTTTTCAAATTTAATCATCAGGATTTTAAATTGAAATACTTATTGAGCAATTTCTCGCTTAAGTGATACATATTGAGAGGAAATTTAACAGAACTGAGCGTTATTCTCCACTACATAGCTAGATTTCAGTACTTCAAAATATGAAAAACACAAATTGAGCATTTAATTTTATCTGAACTCAATTAACACAATTAATTGAGTTGTCGTAAGATTTTATGTTTGGTAACTGACAAGTATAATCGTCAGCGCCTAAAATTAAATGAAATGTTTTATTCTTTCACTCGGGCATAAGTATTCAATCACTGAAATCATTGATCTTCTTATTAGTATTATTTATATTAAGAGTGCTTAACGAATCTTTAATTTATTATTGATTTTGAATCAAAATCGGAGACCAAACATGAATTTTGACTTGACGTAGAAAATTCCGTTTTTAGTTAATTATGTTTCGTATGATTTACTTGTGTGGGTATTGAAAATACAATTGTTTCGAGATAATTTTGGAATTCATTGTTTTATTTAGTTTTGCATATATTTATTAATTATTTATGGTCTATGAAGTCTCTTTTGCATGGTCGATTTCTATTGAAATTTGCCTAACGACAACATTTCACTTACAAAATGTCATTACAGCTAAATAAGAAAATATGGTATGTTCTCATCATGTGTATTCGAGATATGACCAAAATGAGATCCGATGGAAGAAAATAATTTGGCGCTCAATGTCAAATTTTTTTATTCAATTCACAAAATCATGTCACGTCGGAAAGGGCGTTTGCATGAGAAAAGAGATTTCTTACAGATCAATGCTAATTTCGACACCAAACCATTCAACTGGGAGCACTTGAATCAAAATTCACGCGACCAAATCATTCAAATGTGTTTGATCTTAAAGATACCAATAAATACAGAGTCAATGAGTAAAAGAGATTTAATAGTATCACTTAGACAATATCCCAAGATGATTAGTGGCTCCAATTCTCCACCTCCTTTTATGAATTCATCTCGATTGCAAAAATATGAATATCCTGCATTGCAAGATTCTCACAATAGGTCTAATAAGCAAAAGAGTTATGAAAGTACTGAGCCGCAAGATTCTGACGAGACAAGTGCATCGTCAGAAACAACAACCACAACAGAAGAAGAGCAAATAACAAATACAGAAGATATATTATTCCGTACAGAAATAAGTCTGCACGGTAGTTTCTCATCTCACCTCTGGCGATTTATTTTACGCAAGAAAATTCAAGGCATTAATAACTTAGGTTCAACATTATTCTTTATGTATGTTATTGTTGTGTTCGCTGCTATATTTTACTTTATCTTTGAACCTGAAAGTACCAATATTGAAACACCAAATTGAAGTATTTCCATTTCTTTTTGTAAGATTAAACATGTATATTTGTTTGAAAGATAACTTTATACTTTTTCGGTTCGTATTTTACCCTGAATTGTGAAACAAATCGGAAATATTAGTGTTTTCGAACATATTCTTTACAAACTATGGTTATATTGGTGAGTTAATACAGTTTTTATCATCAAATTGAAATTCAGGAAGTTAAAGTAATTGAATACGATATATCAACTTTTTGTCAGGAAAAAATCGGATACCATTGACTTTACAAAAAAAATGGACTGAATTTCTGCAATAAAAAAACTTTTATTTCATGTGGTCTAAAAAGGTGGCTTCCGATGATGTGTATGGTTATATTTTGCTTTAATATTCTATTGGCATGATAACGATTAATTTTAATACCAAACTATCAGATTTAATTCAAACAACCGTAAGAAGAATCGCAGTGTCCTTCACTAAGCAATTCTTCTCAACAATAAGCAGTACGTTGAAGAGGTGTCAATCCACAACTTCCTGACGATTCGGGTCTCGCGCCTCTTCACATTGCTGAATCGAATGATTCACTTTTTATTATAGTTAAAAGTGCATTTACAGCATTCTAATACTATTTTTATTTATGGTGCCTCTTCACGCCTGTATTCCTCGTATTGAGATGGCCTCAGAAAGTTATAAGTCATTTTGTGTCAGAAAAATTCGATTTTCCTCCCTATGTAATTTTAGTGTCTTCGTCTAATGGACAATGAAAATCGATGACGTACATCAAAAGCAGATCTCAGATGATTTTTGTCTACAATTGGAAATTTTGCTTCACAGTGATCTGTTGAAAAGTGAGAAAGATTATGAATAGAATATATATTTTGAACATTATTTGTTGTAACAGATCCTTTTGTTTCATCTTTTCTGTCACAGAAAGGATCTTGAACTATAATTGAATAATCAGAACGATCTTGATAAAATTCTACTCCTGGTCCTGTGTTTCCAAGAAATGAACAGTTTTCAATAAGAACATCTGATATAAATGCATAGAATGTTCCATAATCAGATTTTTTGTGTTCATTATTCAAAACAGTACAAAAATTAAAATAATAATTTCCATTACTTATTTCGAAAATTATATAATTTGATGTTGTGTTACAAAATGATGAATATGTTACGTTACTTAGACTTGTTGGAATATTTAGAAGTATTCCAGAGCCAGAGCCTGCTTCACAGAAACTTGGGGTGATTGATTTAACTTCAATATTTCCAAAATAAAGATAATTTGTAAAAGATTTTTCTAATTTTCCGCATTCATAAAAAGAACTTTCATAAAGATAATTTTTATTATTTGATTTAGAATCTAACCAAACATATGAATGATGTCCACTTTCGTCTTCAGAGTTTGTTTTTGATTTGTAGCCACATGTTCTGTATTGGACAATGGAACTTTTACACTGAAAGTAGATAGATCCACCTTTTGTATTACTACTGCAATTAGTAAAATAACAATATGAGTTAAGAAATTCATCGATACGGCAGTTTTAGTTGTAATATCAATGAATATACAGTTATATAAGAAGCATTCATCATTTGTTGATGTTGTTGGAACATTTTGGCCGTGAATTATTGATAATTTAGGCCATCTTTTGTAAAAGAGTTTCCAAACATACATCAATATACGTAAATTATTCATAGTTGATGTATGTGTTGGTACTGTTTTCTGAAAATCGTGATTGAATTTCATTGTTTTTATCAAAATAAAATATAAAAAAATATGGGATTTTCAATGAAAATGTCAAATAATGTCATTACATTTTTATTAATAAAACGATTTTTTCTTGACCTTACATAATTTTAGCGAATTCGTCTAATGGAAAATTGATGACATACATCAAAAGAAGATGTTGTGGGCTTTTTATCTATAATAGGAAACTCAGCTTCACACAGATATGATGAAAAGTGAGAAAGATTATGAATAGAATATATATTTTTAACATTATTTGTTGTAACTGATTTATATGTTTTATCTATTATTCTGTCACAGAAAGAATCTTTAACTGTAATTGAACCAGAACCATATTGATAAAATTCTACTCCTGGCCCTGTGTTTCCAAGAAATGAACAGTTTTCAATAAGAACAGTTGATGTCCATGCATAGAATGTTCCATATTCAGATTTTTTGTGTTCATTATTCAAAACATTACAAAAATTAAAATTATAGTTACCATAAATTAAATTCAAAATTCTATAATATGATGTTGTGTTACAAAATGATGAATATGTTATGTTACTTAGACTTGTTGTATACCAAAGAAATATTCCTGAGTCATAGTATGCTTCACAGAAACTTGTGTTGATTGATTTAACTTCAATATTTCCATACCAAAGATGATTTGTATAAGGAATTTCTAAATTTCCGCATAAATAAAATGAACTTTCATAAAGATAATTTTTATTATTTGAATTATAATCTAATCAAACATATGAATGATGTCCTTGATTGTTTGTTTTTGATTTGTAGCCACATGTTCGGTATTGAACAATTGAACTATCACAGTTAAAGTATATAGATCCACCATTTGTATTACTGCTGCAGTTAGTAAATGAACAATATGAGTTAAGGAACTTATTGTTTTCATTAGTAAAATAAATTGCACTATTAGTTGTAATATCAATGAATATACAGTTATATAAGAAGCACTCATTATTCGTTGATGTAATTGGAACATTTTTACCTTGAATTGGTTCTGAATTAGGTGATGTATTGTAAAATAGTTCCCAAACATCATTAGGTGATTGATCAAAGTGTAAATTATTCATAGTTGATGTGTGTTTTGATAATATTTTCTGAAAATCGTGATTGAATTTCATTGTTTTCATCAAAAAAATCAAAAAACGTGACATTTCAATGATGTAAATGTCAAATAATGCCGATTTATTTGAATCTTATATTCAAGTTATGAAATTGCGATTCTTTTAACTATCATCAGCATTTTAACAGCTAGTGCATGGAAACAATGATGAGAATCATTCTAATCTTACATAAAAACATCGATTTTGCTGATTTAATTTTTAGATTTCGTAATAAAATGATCAATATTGTAAACAATTAAAGTTATTGTACTTATATATGATTTGTATATTATAAAATGTATGAAATATCGACTTAATTCGCTTGAAATTTTGAAATATGGATAAATGATAGGTAAAATTTATTATAAATGGATAATCATTACATTCTAAATGATTCTATTGATAATGTAATTTAGAAAATTGGTAATACATATGAATTTGTTGGTCAATGCAAAGAATATCGAATTTTTGTTTGATTTTTTTGGTTGTTTTTGTAATAAAATCAAATACAATTCAACCAAGACTTATGTAACTTAGTAAATTTATCATAGAATTAGATTAAAAACAAATTTTTGTTGTTGAGAAAAAAGTATTTGTTTTCTTGTTAATTTCGAATGAAATTAAAGAGTACATATCGATGAGTAAATTCAATATATAGTTATTTAATGAATTTTAAAAGAAAAGTTTCAAAAGATTTTAAAATACGAAGAAATTTGCTTTGTATCGATGAATCATGCTAATCATGCTGACATGTAAAAGGTTTGTTTTGCATTTGAAGAACTTATATGCTCTTATTGAAACAATTGTTCTATGAAACTTATTGAAACAAACTTATTATAAGCTTGTTTAGAAAGACGGAGTGATCGGTTTGTATAAAAAAGATATTTGATGATTTTACACACCAAAGCTCCTAATGAGTATGTTGTCTTTAGATGTTTATGAATATTTGAAAAAATTACAATTTGTAAAGTATATAAATTTTTGCCATGGTTAGACATGATAAAATTAAGATACCGTCCTCTCAATTTTGATTTAATGGAACTTGTAGTGAACAAGGCCATTTTATTCTTTCTATTAGCAAAATAAGATTCAGCGGTTACCTTAATTTTATTGACTTTACTTCATGGATTCAAAAATATATATGTACATGATGTATTTATGCTAATTGATCTTATGTGTGTCTTTTCTGTATACTGAAACGTTCAATAAAAAAATGCCCATCTAACTTTATTTATTCTATGAGAAGATTTCTGATCAAAAACCTTATTTATTCAAATTTCTGACAACTGACATGAAACGTCTTTTAAATTTTAATAAAGAACATACATCTTTTCACACTCAATAACTAACCTATTGATTTTTAACACACATCTAATTTTAATTAAAATTTTTGATAACTGATGGGAAAAATCATCAAGTGAATGTTATGTCATCTCAAAAGTTGGTAATAAATAAGTTATTGACAAACAAATGAATGGATAAATATTTGAAAAGATTATACAAACATGAGAATTGATTTATAAATACAGAAAGAAAAGAAAAATAATAACAATAATAAATAAATAACAATAATCTATAATGTAAGAGAAACAGGAAGTCTATAATTTCGAGTTGCTGTGGATTTTCTTGGGGGTGGAATCTTCAAGCATGGTCTTGCTGGAAGTCTTGATGATGCTCGAGAAAATGCTGTTGAAGGTTTCATTAATGTGGTGACTCGCATAACTAAATCGTTTGGACGTGATGTCATTTGAAGCTCGCGTGGCTTCTCAAAGAAGTTGTTCCTGTTGTTTGGTGCCATTTCGGGCATATAATTTTTAGAAATTTCGACAATTTCATCATGACCATCATTTCCATTGAAGTATTCGGTTAATGTTTTACCAAATAACTCTGGATCAACAACTGTCTTTGGTCGTTCCTCGTGTTTAGTTTGTGATGTTTTAGCAGGAGGTTTAATACCTTCTTCCGCTGTTTCTTTAATAAAATTGTTTTGATCAAAAACTGAGACTTGCTTCTGTGATGATAAAATCATATGGTTGGAATTATTGGATAATCGTGCTGAGCGAAGTGACATTGCAACGCTGTTTCTTGATGATCGCTTCTCACCAAGAAGAGTTGATGTCTTTTCTCTCGCAAAATGTTTTTCATCTGGTAAAAATGGTTTATCTTTTTTCCACGTTTTTTCGTCTTGTAAATTCCAAAAATGATTTCCATCGAAAAGACCAACGTATTCGAAATCGCCTGATCGCCAAAGCAATGCACACATATCTAATGCAATGGTGATAATAAACTTACCTTGTGAAACAATCTCGATCTGTCGGATTTCGTCTCTTGCGCATCGTTCAATTTTACCTGGAATCATTTCAAATTGTCCTTCTTCGTTGATGATCCATTCTCTGACGTATCCAAGAGTATCTGCTGTATACATAAGCTTGCCGAAACTCTTTATATCAGTGATGGATGATTTGACAACTGTGTCATGAGCAGATCTTCCCAAAACATATGATAATTTAGGAACAGAATAAACATGAATGAAACCTAAATTGTCACCAACAAAAACATATTTCGTTGTTGAATAAAGACATTCTACTTGAGCTCCATTAGGTAATTTAGCTTTAGCTAAGTACTTGCTCGTATCTAATGTCCATGTAAAGATCTCGCCATTGGCATCACCGCTGATAAAACCATAATTAAAACTGACAACAGAAGAAATGTCACTTTTATGTCCTAAATATGATCTGAACAAATCAAGAGATTCAGGACCAGTTTGGATATACAAAGAAAGGACTTTATCCCATCCACCGCATGCCAAAACATTCCTTGTTCCAATGGACATTGCCGCGAACACAGAAACTAAATTTGATCCCTTCAAAATGTCAAGAGAAATCATAATCGCTGCGGAATTAAAATTCCAAACATTTATAACGTTCTTTTTCGTCAAAGTGAATAATCTTCGGCCTTTCCAGTCCAATGTCGATGCAACAACATCGTCATCGCAGCTCTCATGATGCAATGAATCCCTAGACCCTGTATTAATGTTCCAGACCGAGAAATCGCCATGAGCATCGCATGTAACAACTTGATCAAAAGTGTCAGAAAAGTGAGCGCCGATTATTTGATGGGCGTGAGTATTTGACTGTGTAGAATCAGTTTGTTGGGATACATCTTCAGCCCATTTAGAAAGACTTGAAGAAGCTGCTAAAAGGCATCTTCGAACGGAATCGAAATATAATGCACTAAATCTGTTGTCAGGATGCTGAAGTGTTGGGTCCGTCCACTCTCTAACCATTCTAAAGTTGACGGAATCCCATAATTTGAACTCTTTTCTGTTAGTCATCGTTACAATATAATCTACATCAGAATTTGTTAAAAATGAACAAATTCCAATCACTTGGTTATAATGTCCACCAAGTTTGAATGTCTTTCGCTGTGTAAGCAATGACCAAACATATGCATCCCGAGAGATACCGTAAGTTATCAAAACTTTCTGAAGTTTACAATAATAAAATCCCAAAATTGGTTGGTTGTCTTTTAGTATTCCTTCAGTGGTAAACTTGTGTGTTGTCGTGTCATACTTCCACAGTTTGACTGTATGATCAAGGGAAGAGGTTGCGTAACACATAATTGTATCAATGTACTCAATATTCGTGATTGCTTCCTGATGTATCCGAATTTTGGCGGTTTTTGTGATCTGGAAGTCACTGCCTTGTCTAACTTTTGGTGCTTTGAGTAAATACGCTTCGACATAGCCTTGGTCGTCTGCAATTAAAAATTCAATTTTTGAATCCGTATCTGTTTCTCCTCCGTAAGTAAAATACATGCACATGCATGTGGGAACGTTAAACATTGGCAGATCTGATGTTTTCATTGTGTTTAGGATGTTGGTTGCCTTTGGTCCTGACATTGATTTAATTTCATCAGCAGTTGGTGAAGCTCCAACTGTAGCTGGTAGTAATCTGAGCGAGTCTAGTTCGAAAAATAGTAATTTTCGGGTTGTTGTCGTAACTGCTAATACATTTTGTTGATTTATAACTATCATGCAAGAAAAGTTGCCAGGTTCTGAAATAAAACGTGTTGGATTCATTGTGCGTGTTGCCCAGAATCTAATGCTATCTGAAGATAGTGAGATATATTCGTCTCTCCTGGGGAAATAAGCAATTTGTGTAATCATTTCTCTGTGTATTTGATTTCTTGATAACTCATTGGAGGGAAATTTATGTATAAAATCTGTGGAATTTGTGCTGCTATATAATTTAGTTGAAGTCATTTCTTTCATTAAAAAAGAAACTAATTCATCCCAAGAAATTAATTCGTTTGCATTTGCATCAATTTTATAGAAATACAATTCGAATTCTTTTTCTGTAAGGCGCCCGTTATGTATAAATTGTCTTAAATCTGAATTTTTCCATTCTTCAAAACTAATTTCTTCTCTTTGATGTTTATCAGCATCTTCAAACGCCTTTTTTAGAGATGTTATATATGTTTTGGTATCATCCTCTTTGGTAGATTTCTTATTTTTAAAAGGACTTTCTGTTGGAGTTGGCCCAAGAAGAGCTGAAATTGGATGTTCATTTTCCGAATCATCATCTGAATCACTTCTGACCTGAGGAGTTTCGGGTTGAGATGTAATTAAAGTGTTGAACATTCAATCTAAAAAATTTTTTAAAACGTACTTTTTTTGGAAGGTATTCAAAAAATTTACATCAAAATCTTTATCGCAAATGTTTCATTTTTTATTGCAATAATCCTAAATATCAATGTATATGTCAAATTGTATGTTACCATCTCAAAATGGATCCAATTGAATGATATGAAATCAAAAGTTTTAGGATACGGGAGGGTAACAAAGTTGCGCACAAATCTGACAATCAAAATAGTGAAAATTTTAATTTCATTCTTGAATTAAATAACTTGATAAAGTTAAACTGAATATTCTTTTTAAATGTGAAATTCATCTTTTGAAATAATAAATATAGTCTAATTTGCCGATGTATTTGTAATTACTTTTGGATATAACCCTTATGAAGCAAATTAAAACGGGGTCATTTTAAAACGTTCAATATAATGAAGATTTCCTTTGATAGAAAGCACCTATCAGTAGTGATATTGTTGACGATTTGAACATGTGTTAATCAACCAATGTATCAGATTTTTTCGAAAAACGGATGAGAGGTATGCTGACTGGAATAAGGTTAATTTTTTCTCTTAACGTCATTTTTAATGGCCACGTCTAGAGCTAAGCATAACATTATTTTAGAAACAAGTAAAGTCATTCGAAAAAGCACTTCATATATTATGTTTTCGATCGTAACAATATAGATGTTTTCGCTTTTATACAAAAGATTTATCAAATTTATTATCATATATGTTATTATTCGTTCATCTTTACGGAAACGCCATATCATTAAGAAATTCGCATGGGAGATTACTCAAACGTATATGTTAAAATCCTAAATTATTAACTTTTTTTTGTACAGGTGGTTTTCCTTGTAATAGCTATAAAACATATAGATTCATGGTAAGTATCACCTTTAGAATAGTTTTTAAATAAACTATCAGCCAAAAAAAAGTTACCCGTATATTCAATTACTGACTTATTCAAAATAGCAAAATTAATAATACGATAATGATTTGTAGCATCATGGTATGCATAATGTTTAACTATTTAGTATGTCTTATAAAATTATTATTTTATTTTTTTTTTATTATTAGGAATAAATTATCTTAATACTAGTAAATAGTTCACACATTTATGTAATTTAGATATTTTTGCTCAGAAAGCCTAATTGATTGGTATTAACTCATCATTTATTCGCTCATTGAGAAAGTATTATTAAAACATGCAAGATATGTGAGATTATTATAAACTTCGGATTACAATCTGAATGGTTTAATTTCAATCATACTTCATGATGATTAATATAATATTTTTATTCATTATTGTAATATATGAAATTTAAGCATTAATATTATTTCAGAACTTAAAATAATTAGTTTTTGTCGATTCATAATTCAAATAAATCAGCTAAATATGTAAAAAATTTAAAAAATTCCAAAATGGCAAAAATAATCTGAGCATAAAATATAAGCAAATTACTAGTGCATTTTCCTCAAAATTGGCTGATAGTTTTTCTTGCATGTTCATACAAACATTGCTCACAAGCATGCATAGAAGCTATATTCAAAATTTGGGGGCATTTGACCTGTATCAAGGGTAGTCAGCATACCTCTAACGGATGCGTAAAAAAAATTCTATTTGAATTTCCGATGAATTGAAAATTTTCAGAACAGATCCTTCAAAATTTTGATATATAGTTTTAGCATGTATATCAAAAAATCATTTTTCTAATAAAATAAATCCTCAGAGAAAATTGAATGGTGATCAGAATGACTTAGACATCACTTATAATGCTTTTTGCATTATTGCTTAGATCTTTAGAAGCCAGCAGTTATTATGAAACATGTAACGAAAGTCTTCTTGATCCTGGATACACCTGTTGCAATGACAGTCCATGTAAGGGCGAATGCGTTCGCATCGAAGGATATTTTGAGAAAGAGACATGCCTCACGGAATCCCAATATCAAACTTGCTATACAGGACAATATTTCGCAGTATATGTTGTAATTTTTTGCGTTCCTACAATTGTATTTTGGGTTTTCTCATGTGTTACGAAAACAGACGTGCCTTTATGTACATGGATTAGCAATATCATCATAAATATCTCATTAGGTGCAATTGTTACCTCAATTACATGCTTGTCCATAATTCCAAGTCCTGATTTCCCAAGATATTGTATTACAGCGGGAATCCTGCTATTAATGATTACGTATATCATGTCTCGCATGTCAATATTAGGAGATGGTGCTGAATGCTGCTCCAACGAAAAATCCAGCGGATCCTTTAAAGATATTCACAAGAATAAAGAGGAAACTACTTCCAAATCATGTTGTTCATGCTGCTCGCCAAAACCAATTGATCCTTTCAATCCAACCACTGACTCTTGCTGCGGAATAAATGAGGACACAAAAGAAAGCACATATGATTGCCTTAGATTTATTAGAGAAGTCCGTTCACCACATGTGACCAGAGAGGAACTCATTTCTATCATGGATGAAAACGCATCGATTCCACCTACACCACAAAAAGGCGGAGTCGCATATACAAATCATAATGACAGTATTATCATAGTAAAAGATGAGAGAGAGCCAATAAAATACGGTTCTTGGCAAGAAACTGCACCTCGTGAAAAAATTACAAAAGAAAAAGTGATTTACAAATGCAATCCTCATTATAAATACAAGGAAAACATGAGAGAAGAGTTAGAACGTGCTGATGCTGCTATTACTGCTAGTGTTAAAGGTGTTTCTGGTCTTGCAAGATCGTTTGACGTGTTTGACTTCAGTGGAATGACAAAGAGAGCTATTTATGGTGATAATTGTGTCTTTAATGTGTTCCCAACATGCTGCTACAGATTTTTCTACGAAATTCTCTTCATCCTCGGATATAATGGAATTTCTGACTTCTTTTGGAACCTAAATGCACAAAGGATTGTTTTCAAGTCAATGAAGGAAATGTCAATGGATGATTCACTCCGCGCTAAGTTTGGAGAAAGAGATAATCTTGAATTCATTGACAATTCGGATAATTTATCTAAAGAAGAGGAATTTAAGCAGTCCATTATCTAACTGATTTATCTACTATGATTAGTATTCTAAAAAGCAATAAATAAAGATAGATTTTTCTTAAAATTGAAATAGGTTTTTTGGAGCTCCCTACTAACTTTTTTTAAGAATATAGATTTAGAAAATGAGAGGAAGATATATTAGATTTAAATTTAAGACAAAATTGCAAAGAATTGAAATTTGAAACTTCAAATCAAAATTTCTCATCAAATATAAAAATAATCAAATAATTGGTAAGCTTTAATCATCAAATTTCAACTTTTATGTGTAAGCAATTCATATTCGGGAAAATGTATTTTAAGTGTAAGCAATTCATATTCGAGACAAGAATTTAATACATTTTCATCTTACATTTAAAATTTTATATTTCAAAAACATGCCTGACACAAACTTCACCGGAAGAAACCAAATTAAAATTTATCGAAAGAAAATTTATAAAAAAATCCCTAGAAGCAATTATGAATTCAATACACTATCAAGTGAATCATTTCTTTTTTCTTTTGTGAAGGTACTTACGACTTTCATCACGGTGCTAAAATTTTTTTGCCAACAATTTTTTCCAAATTTTTTTTTATCTTCAAAAATGTCGGACGTTCAAATCCCAGGTGTCGGTATTGATTTTGGAACAACTAACTCTTGTGCATATTTTGTCTCACAGAATAGAGAAGAAACTACTCCAATTCCAATTAACGGCAAGAACTTTGCTCCAACAAATTTAACTTACGTCGAAGATGAAGAACAGCCCATTGCATGTGTCGATACAACAAGGCTTGTATATCCAGCAGGAAACTGCATCCATAACATTAAGCGTATTATTGGTAAAAAATTAAATGATCCAGATATTCAGAAACACATCAATAAATGGGACTTCAAACTTGTCGAAGATAATAAAGGTATGGCTGCCTTTAAAGTCGTTAGCAAGAACAAAGAAATTATTGTTACTCCAGAGCAAGCAGCAACATTAATCTTCAAGAAACTGTTAGTCAGCTTCCACAATACACAAATGGCAAATCAGAGAACAAACCAAATTGTTCTTACAATCCCTGTCGCATTCAATGTTGAACAATGCGAAAGAATCAAATTAGCTGCAAGAGCTGCCGGAATTGACATCATTGCTACAATTTACGAACCTACAGCTGCTGCCATCTCATCAGGAATGATGGCTGCCACTGACAAGAAACTCATGATCTTCGATTTCGGTGGTGGCACATTGGATGTCACAATTATGCAAGTCCAACGTGGCCAGAACGGATCATCCGTATTTACTACGATCGCAGAAACAGGAGATCCTGATCTCGGTGGCGAATTAATCGATGAAATTTTGATGGATCACTTTGAAACCGTTCTCAGAGATTCTGGATTCTATATCAGAACAGGCCCAGAGAATCTGCGTCTGAAAAACCTCGCAAATCTTAAGCAAAATTGCCGAGATCTCAAAGAAACACTTTCCGCGGCTTCTGCTGTTGAATTCTTCTGGAATGGAATTACAATTGAACCAAGAAAGGCCAAACTGCGCAAGAACAGATTCGAAACTATGCTTACTGACAACAAAATTATTGATCGAATCAAAGACACAGTCCAGAAATGTCTTACCAAGGCCAAATACACTGCAGACAAGATTGACAATGTTATCTGTGTCGGTGGTTCATCAGCCATCCCAATTGTCAAAGAAACTCTCATTGAAATGTTCACAGAAAACAAAGTTCTTGTCAGTACACATCCAGAAGAAGCCATTGCAAAGGGCGCATCCATCTACGCTAAAGCAATCCTCAAAGGCGGTGTATCAGGTATTGATGAAGCAGGAGCAGGTACAAATTCTCATGTTCCAAGAGTTTCTGCTCCATCAGATGTTCCAGCAAGGCCTCCTCCTTCATATCCAGATCCAACAATTGCAGATGCACATGCTTATCCTGATCCAACAATGGCAGCTGCGACACCAAATAAGCCACCTCCTTCTCATCCGAAGCCACCGCAAGCATATGTTCCAACTCCTTCTCATCCGAAGCCACCGCAAGCATATGTTCCAACTCCTTCTCATCCGAAGCCACCGCAAGCAGATGTTCCAACTCCTTCTCATCCGAAGCCACCGCAAGCAGATGTTCCAACTCCTTCAATACAGATCACAACGAAATCGTATTTGTCCTATTCACTCGGATATCTCGACGCCTACAATGATTTCGATGAAATCTTCGAGAACGGTGCAGAAATTCCTTCTCAGAGAACAATCAACGTGTCCAGTGTTGATCCGAACCAGCCAAACATGATCACGAAGGTCTGCTACAGGAAGGATGACGAGGATGATTCAATCATCTTGTCTACTTACACAGTGGATTACAAAGGAAATCGCGGTGATAAAGTTTCTGAAACTTGGTCAATTGATGCTGGTGGAAACTTGACAATTAAATCAGTTTTGTTTAAGTCAGGTGCATCTGTTTCAAACAAGGTAAGCATCTCCAACCTTTACTTCACAACAGATGAGATTAACCAGATGAGAAGAAACGCTGATGAATTCGAAAGCAGCTTGAACATGGAAGAAAGAATTCAAGAGGTTGAGAAACAAATTGATGCTGAATTGTCAAGAGCAAGAAGATTGTTCAGATCTTCACCAAGAATGAGAGAGGTCAAGAGAAAATTGGATGAAATTGTTAACTGGGTTGACGAGGGAAGAGCTGGAAGAACTGAAAACGAATACAAGGAAAAGCTTCAGGCAATCAGAGGAATCATTGAAAATTATTCATCTTAAAAAAAACATAATTTTTTTATTATTTATTACTAACAAAAAATTTTTTGGAAACTCTATTTTTAGTCTAATGTCTTTTATATAAGGAGTAATTTATGAATTCGATAAATCGCAAATAATCTTATTTGAATTCACTGATGGTGATGAATGGTTCAGGAAAAAGAATATGGATTTATATTGGGCGAAAATTGAATTTAAAGGTGCATTAACGCTCACATACCATCTTCTCAATTTTATGACACAAGAGACCCAAATTTATGATATTTTTGAAGTTAAATTAAATATATGGCTTGGCACTGTATGTGCATAAAAATTTGTTCATTTTACTAGGAATTCTGTGTCGCATGATGAAGGATTGTCACAAAAACGAGAACTTAATGTGAAAAGGCGGAAAATTAAAAAAAATTGAGCATGTAAGATTTGATCAGATATGATCGGTTCCATTAGACAAATGAAAGTGATTGAAATATCGCTTAATGTCTACGTCTGAAGAATAATTGTATGCATCCATCAGTAGTTGATATATCTTTGGCCTTTTGTAATTTGATATCAGTTTCACAAATATATGAAGAAAAATATGATAATTCATTTATTGAAAAGTTATCATAGATTTTTTCTGAATAAATTGAATTAGAAATCCCGGCAAAAGTCAATTTATCACAATAAGAATTCTTAAGTATTATCGAACCTTCATAAAGAAAAAATTCAGGATCTCCATTATTGCATAATATAGTACAGTTTTCGATAATAATTTTTGAATACATTGACTCGATTGTATGAAGTTTATCTTTAGTCCATTGATTGTATAAAATATTACAAAAAGTTTGGTAAAAAGATAAAAATTCATATCTAATTATTGAATATTCAAATGTTGAGTTGAAAAATGAAGAAAATGTTACATTCGGTTCCTTTGTGGGACCCATAAGTTTCATACATGAAGAGATACCTTTTTCAAAAAAACTTGCATTGATTGATTTAATTTCTATATTTCCATATAAAAGATTGATAGTTCCCGCTGCTATATTGTTATTGAATTTATAAAATGAACTTTCATAAATATAATTTATACGAATTGATTGATAGGATAATTCTGCATATGTACAATAATTTTGATTTCCAGATGACTTGTAGTTGCATGTTCTATATTGTACAAATGAATTATTATCACCAGAAAAATAAATCGAATATTTACTACAGTTATTAAAAGAGCAATATGAACTAAGAAACTTGCTGTTTGGTGTATTGAGTTTTATTGCCCTTGAAATTGAGAAAAAAATACAATTATGTATAAAGAATTCATTTTGAGTTTTGTTCACCCGAACGTTTCTTCCAGTGAGATATTGCGTTTGTGGATTAACTTTGTAAAATTCTAATCAAATACTTTCTGGTGGGGAATCATTGTGATGATGGATCATGACACAAATCTATAAATGTGATATAAAAATTAATTGATGAAAATCACAATTGAATTGTGTAAAAAATCTCCTATGAATATTTATTTGGAATAAAATGGAATATAAAAACGGAATCTCTACATGTAATTTTGGATATTTTGATTTTGGAAAATTGAAGTCGTAACATTTGGTAATATGATTTGTGATAGAATCTATCGTTCTTGTTTTTTTCAATAAATCATTTGAGAGATTTGTGAAAATTATATGTGATATATTGTGTTCTTCTCAAACTTTTATATGTCTTTTATGAAAAATTCATATGGATGACGATAAATTTATTTGAATCAACAAAATTATGTTTGATACATGAATTGGTGAGAAACGGAATAAAACCAAAATGCTTCTTAGCAAAATCTAAATATTGTAATGAATAGGATAGAGGTTTTGGATTTTTATCCTAACAAACGGTTTTAGGCCACGAAAAACCGTTGGCTCGTCATTTTTCTTTTCGAAGAGAGAGAGGAGTAGTATGTATTTAGAGTGTTTTGGTCTTAGCTGTGACGATATTAAATGCACCACCTAGCTGATTTACAGATGATTGCATTTATCTGAGCGCTAAGATCAAAAATATAAATTTAAAATAAAACTAACACACAGTATTATAAACTTTAAACTTCAATCAAATTACTTTCAGAAATTTGATCAGTTTTAGGTCAGTTTAAAATAATTGTCAGCAATTATTTTTGAACAACACTTATTCATTAATAAAACTTCAATTATAAACTTAAACCATGAATTTTTCTCATTTTTAGTACGATATCCAATTTGATAAAATAGAATGTGTCTATTTAAAATGAAAAAATGATTTAATATAGCTGAATAAGAGGTTAATATAATAACTGTTATTCCTTATGTATGTGCACTCATACATGTTTATACATTTGCCCTAAAAAGAAATTTAGTAGGTTTTGAAGCTATCATTAAACATCTATAAGAAAAATGTATCTGATACGTCAATGCTTTTATTAATGTTTAAAAGTTTCTGAACTTATGAATGTGAGAAGTATTAAAATAAGTTAAAATGAATTATTAAGTCAGTGAAATTATTAAAATCCATGATGAGTATCACCCGAATCAATATCACGGTATATCCTGTAAATGGGTCGTTTAATATCGGCTCATTATCATTTTAAACACTAAAAAAAAGAAGGAAGAATTCTCCTCGCAAATTGTCTTGTCACGTTTTTGATCTAGATTTATATGATTCAAGGAGGAAGATCTTCTTCACGAAGTAAAGTGCCGACAACTAGCAAAGAATCGGAAATTAGTATGAGTCAGCATGAGTTCCTTAAAACAGAATCAAAAGAAGCAATTTCAAAATTTTTAACAGAGAATATTATCGAAATTAGTGTAATTGATGATTTAATTAGCGAAGGTTCATACAGTACTGCAATAACGTGTATAGCTTCATTACTTGAAAAACAAAAAATTCAAAAATCAAAATCGATTAATCTCTTAAATGGAATTACAAAAGCCTTAAACAAAGAAAAACGATTAAATGAAATGCAAAATTATGATTATAGAGGACAAATGGCAACAATATCTTCATTATTACTTCTAAGTGGCACAAAGGATTCCACTATTGCTGCTATTTCTCTTCAGAAAGGTATTGAAGACACAACTGCTGTAGCTGCAGCTCTTTTAAACTTTATTACACTAGAAAAATCAGAATTCGAGCTTAAACACAAATTTCAGACCAATGCAGGTTCCCTAAAGGTAGATGGCATTAAAGAAGCTCTTAGTGCAGCTGTTTTGCTTAAATCTATCTTCCAATCTACAAATGGTCGAGTATTCATCAGATATCCTATTTCAAAGGATGTTTTTACAGACGAAGATGCTACGAAGCTTGTTGATACCCTAAAGATTATGATTGCTTTGCAATCAGTTGAAAATAAGAATGAACATCTTTCTGTTGAAGAATCCATCCTCCTTATTAATAAAGGATATGGCGATAAGGCTAGTAGCTTCTTTGAAGCCCTTGGTAAAGAGAAAAAGATAGAAATTGCGAAATTAATTGTTGATGGAATAGAAGACCAACAAAGCAGGAAGTTATTTGCAAAATGCTTCCAAGCAGGATATAATAGTGTTGGCGGAAGAACTCCTATCTGGCTTTCCAATATGGCAAAATAAAAAAAATATATTTATAGATTCTTTTTATATATAAAATGACATTGTTTTTTATATTAAGTTTTAAAGAGTTACAAAAAGACACAATTTGGTCATAAAGATAATTTTATTTATAAGAAAAGGTAAGAACTCCTTTTTTGTTTTCGTAGTCGATAAGTTAAATTGAAATTTTATAGACTTAACATTTAATTGTTTTGTTTATTTGAACTCGAATTTCATTCTCTTGATTTCATCAACGATTGAGAATGCGATGAAGACGAAGTGGAACTCTGGATCGTATCTTCTAGCATCCATGAAACGTAAAAGCTCCATTGTGTATGCTTCAAGAGCCTTCTTCAAAGTCTTGAAACTGTCATCGGTGACGATCTTGTTGTGGCATGCCATTGCGAAGTCTATAGCAGCAACTGTGAGGCGTTCAATATCAACGTTGAAGGTATTGACCTGGACACCACAGAATAAGACAAGAGCGACTTTGATCATCAAATCGCAGAGGTTCTGGTTTGGTGGAGGAATTTCCTTGTAATCCTGTTCGGATTTCATGGCAACCTTGGCACGAAGAACTTCTGCTGATTGAATAATTGATTCGGCTCTGCCATTTTCTGACATTTCTGTGATTGCGTTGAGCAATTCTGTGCACTGGATGGAAAGTGTTTCTGAAACAGTGGCAATATCAGCAGATGTGTTGATGATGATTCTGACAAAATATTCGAACGCGTTTGGTTCGACTTTGAACCTGCAAGCACGTGCGAGAGCAACATACCAGTTGAAGAGGAGCTCGCGGCGGAGTGTTGCAACAAGCAATGGGAAGTTCTTGTCATAGGCACCTGCCTTTTCGTTAGAGAAACGTAATCTATAGAGGCAAATGATCATGTCATAGAATGATTGAATGTTGTTCTTGTTGGAGAAGGTAGAGAAAAAGAGTTGAGCGAGCTTTTGTGAATTATCGAGCAAAATTGAAGAAGGAATCGATTCCATGAAAGTAGGAAGAATGACTGATTCAGATTTGAAAACTATTGGCTTGGAAGTCTTTTCGAATTCTGGCTTGAGTGCAGCTGTAAGCTTGTCCTTCTTTGATGTTTCAAATAAGTAAAAGATTGGCTTTGGATCGCCTCTTGCTCTGAGGAGGACTTCAAGATCTCCCTTTGCTTCAACATTTTCGACGTTTAAAGTTGGAACTGTAGCGATATTTGTTTTCCAATCATTTGACATGATGGTAATACTATCTTTTGAAGTGTAAACATGTGCCCTCTGGACATCCTTTGTCTTGTTTTCACCCTTGTATAAGTTAACATGGAAGATAATTCCATAGTATTCAGGTGGAAAAACCTTTGTCATCGAAATGAATTTTTTTTATGAATATAAAAATGATCAAAATGAACAATGCTTATATGGAATACATTAATGTATCTGGGGAGTAAAGCCTATATCTGCAAAGAAAGATAAGTATGCCAGATATATTTTACGGTTTAATTTGTGTTCCGCATCCTTTCAAAATTTGATAAGAATAAATTTCAAATACGGAAAAAAAATAAAAATTGGTCATGCATTCGAAATTTCTTGCCAGAGTTATTTTGGATTTGTGGGATGATATTCCTGTGTACCACAAGCATTGTGGCTTACTCTATGAATTAGAATTTCTTGTTGGTAATTAAATGACAGATGTGAAAATCGACACCATGTAGTAAAAAAGTTACCAAAGAATAGTATATACAAAAAGAAGCCATTTCTACGATTTAAATATTTCGAAAAATCCAAAATTTTCTTGAAATTCTAAAAATCAATATAAATAATGTCGTTTTTCTGATTAAATTTAACTCTTTGAGTTTTTAAAGGTTATTGTATTCGTGTAAATATAATAGGAATCTTATGTCAAGACGATATTACAGCGAATAGGATCGAAATATCAAAAACCAAACAATTACATAGAGTTCGTTTATTCAAAATTATACTCATCGATCAAAAATCCAGTGATACATCACACATAGAACTCATTATTCAAGCAAATATTCGAATTCATCTACTTTTCAAGAATCTCTCATTCAAAATGGGCAGATTTGTTTAAATCAAAAAACAGTTTAGAATTGGAATTCAGGAATGTTCATATATTATCACTATTGCAGCGTTAAATTTTGGTGAAATTTTATGAGTGGGCGAATTTGAGTGGTTTCTAAATGTTGTTTCAATATAATCCTTCTAAAAACCATCCATTCAGCACATAGTTTTATACACTCAAATTCCGAAATCACATCGTATTTCACAAAAAATAAAATTGTCTTGCGTAACATATTAAAAATTTCAATAGAAATTTGAAAACAGTTTTGTGACCGCGTTTATTAATTATTATTTCTGATCTTCAAAATAGTAATAATCATAAACCTATAAATGTATCTATTCAAAACGTGACAATTTTGAAAGGTGTAAACAAAAATTGATAGATTGAGTGGCCACATTTTTTATTTCCTATAAATGTCAACCTCCAAGACGTCTGTAACTTTTTTCTGCAAGGCCCAATACGCTTTTGGTGAACGCCTTTGCATATTCGGCAATACACCTGAACTTGGAGACGGTGATATCAAAAAGGCAATCTATTTAGATTGGATCGAAGGCTCCTACAACAACAGATTAACTGTTAGCTTTGCTCAATTACCAGCTGGCAAGTGGTATAAATATGCCATCGTTGACAGCTACGGAAACGTTAGATATGAGTCAATTCCAGACAGAATAATTCCGAAGTTTTTCGATGCCGTTGCTTTAAGAGACACATTCAACCTTCCTGCTGTTACTGATTCCGTCATCCTCTCAATCCGCGTACCATACGGAACCTACTGGGGACAGAACATTTATGTTATCGGTGATTGCGAAGAGCTCGGTGATTGGCAAATTAATAACGCCTTTCCACTCTCTTACATCGATCATCAATATTGGGGCGGTAGTGTTCGCTTCCCAATCTCCAATGAAGCCAGACAAGTTAAATACAGATATTTCATTCAGAACGATAACGCCAAGACAATTTGGGAACCAGGTGATGAACATACAGTCATTATCCCAGAGTCCCATAATCCAAGTATCATCGAAATCGTTGATCCATATCGTTGGACCGATTCCATCATCGAGACAATCTCTCGCTCTCCATTTACTAAAGCCTTCAACCCAAGAGAAGCCTCTTCAAAGGGAATCTTAATCCAATCTAACGAAAATCCAGATACAGTTCGTATCCAGTTCTCCATTCTTTGCCCAGTACCACGCCAAGGCCAAGTAATGAAGATTGCTGGCAGTATCAAGGAACTTGGCTACTGGAACCCACCAAATGCTCTTGAATTACAAGACCATGACTTCCCAACATGGACACAAGTCGTTGATGTCCCAACATCATCACTTCCATTCGAATACAAGTATATCTTATGCGACCAGTTCGGCAACGTTATCTGGGAATCAAGATCAAACAGATTCCTCTTCCCAACAGATGTCAAGGGCTTAGACTCATCCTATCCAATCAATCTCATCTGCCACGACTGGATTCCGTCCATTGGAACTAACCCATTCAGAGGCTTGTGCATCCACGTTGATCTTCCAAACATCTGGACAAAGAAGACATGCGGATGTGGACAGTTCGGCGATGTATGCAGGGTAATCGATTTCGCTTCTCAATGCGGAGCTTCAATGATCCAGTTAACCTCAGTTTATGATGAGAAACGTGCTTTTGCTTTAGATCTTGCTTATGTTGATCTCAACAACATTCCAGACATCACAGATGATGTCATTACATTGATTTCCAACCACTCGGCCGACATTACAGATCAAGATGTCAATCTTGAAGAGACAAGAAGCTTCAAGATCGATGCTCTTCGTCAGATCTACAAGCACCAGCAATTCCACTCAGATTTCACTTTCTACGCCGAGCAAAACAAGGACTGGCTCCCACATTACGCCAAATACCTCGGTGAAACAGACGTAAAGTTCGTACAATGGACACAATACATTGCCGACAAACAACTTCGTGAAGTCACCGCATACGCACTGGAAAGAAGAATCGCAATGAGAGGTGAAATCCAACCATCAGTACAACTTGACTCATGCGATATCCGCGCATTCCCACATGCATTCACTGGATTCGAAGAAGTCGTTGATGACGAGAAACAAGGCTCACTTTCCTTCTCATGGACAAAAGAATGCCAGCAATGGTGGAAGAGACGTCTTGAAATTCACGAGAGATACTTCCAATCACTCAGAGTTAAGGATGCAGACAAGATTGTCCAAGTTGGCGAAGTTCCACCACAAATGGCTATCAACGCTATGCATCTTTCCACCGATAAGAGCCTTTCAGAGCAAGAACTCAAGGACATGAAGCTCTGGGATATTAAAAGATACGTTACACCATACTTAAGATCCAAATTACTTCCACCAATCTTCGGAGATGATACAAACTACATTGAAAAGAAATATTTCAATGTCAGAGGTCGTGGTTTTCGCGATAAATTACTTTCTTTCAAGATGCAATCTCTCGATGAAGTCGAAGAGAAGTACAGATCAAAGATGCAAGCATTACTTTCCGATGTCGTAATGACAGAATCACTTGGCCGCTTCTTCTTCGTCAATACTCTTGGAAATTCATGGAAAGACCTTCCACAGCCACAACGTCGTATTATTCAGCGTATTACAAACGAGAAACTTATGTCTCTCAAGGGACAAGATGCAATTGAAGAGTCCGCAAGAGCAAGAACAAGAATGATCTCAAGACAAACAGAACTCGAAGTTGTCGGTGAAGATGGTGAATTTTACACTGAATTCACACCAGAAAGATCTCAAATCAAGACTCGCGGAGGAAGATTCACTGATACAAGGAATCTTTCTTTCATGTTCGTCTCTACAATGGGATCATCAATCATGAGATGGTGGAGAGACAACCGCGAGGAGGCACAGAAGTTCTGGAGAGAGGAATTGTACAGACAGGATGAATGCCCACTCGAATTACCAACATGGGCACTCGAAAACATCATCAACATGCAGTTGCAATGCGGTGCACAGTGGGTTGTCATTCCTCTTGATGATATTGCTGCAATCGGTGGCCACATCAACAAAAAGGGTGGAAGAGAACCATTCCCAGTTGAAAACCTCGTTGAAGACAGAAACTTGTCCGCTAAGATGTCATCATTTGTTAACCAGAGTGGACGTCGTATCTAATTTTTTTTATCTTTTTTTCTTTTTTTTTAAATTTACTAAACAATGTTTACGCTTTCTTAATAAATAGCATTTTTATCATATTAATTTTATTGAGAGTTCAGTTTTAGATTTTATCGTTTTAGAAATTAACGCAAAATTCTAGAAACATAAAGACAGAAAGACTCAAATGGATGAAACAATACGAACTTAGTTACAATAACCTTTTAGAAATAAGTAATAAAAAATTATGATATAGTAATAGTAACAAAAAGTTGAATTATCTGCGTGTTAAAGCAAGGCATTATCTCTTGAGTCACTTTAAACATCGCTATTACTGTTATTGAAGCTCTACCATAACCGATATTATCTGAAAACTCATTTTTCACTTTAAAACTACCATCGTTTATTACATTTTGTGTGTGGCCACTACCCCCACCACCAGCACCCTTCTCAACAGCCCCGCCGCCGAACCATCCTGCACCAGGGCCACCGAAACCGCCCAAGCCGCCACGACCGAACGTTCCAGAAGCATAATGAATACCATCGGCACAAGTGGAAGCAGAGCATCTATCTTGCATTCCATATTGAGAAGGGCAAATTTGGCCTTGCCCACTTTCGCCATTTAAGCCGCCACCTCTGCCCCCATTGTAAATTTTGTCTTCTATTCTACCACCACCACCTGCACCCGCCGTTACTATTCTCGATTTTAATGAATTATAATCACTCCAATTTCCTGATACTTCTCTAAAATCGGTGGCCCCACCACCAAGACTATCAATATTATTTACACCATATGCACCACCATTGTAAATATTCTGATATATTATATTCAAACTAGAATTTAAATCCGCATGTCCGCCGAGATATAAATATATTGTTTTTAGGTTAGATACTCTATAAACACCTGCAGCGTAACCCCAAAATCCTCCTCGAGCTGTATTTCCGTTGTTATATTGATTACCCCCTGAAGCTCCATAAGCTTCAAGATAGTAATATCCAGGTCCAAGGGTTATATTATAAGGCGAACAAACAGAATAGTTTTCACATGGGTAATAAAAATCATATTTATTTTGCGAAGAATTGAATTTTACAATGCCATTATTTGGCGACTCATGCTTTATTATCATTTTCTCTTAAAACGGCTTGAATACACACACAAAAAGATTGCTCAATCTCTGCAAAAGTTCCAATAGAGATAACTTAAAAATTTAAAATATTTCCGTATTTGAATAAAATTTGAATGATTTTTAAATTGATCTGCGGATTGATTATTAAACATCACATCATTGTGATCAGTAATCTAAGTAACAATTAAATCCCAATACTTATGATCAAAAAAATCTGATTAAATCAAAATTCCACAAAAACCCCTGCAATCTCATTAAAGACCATACTTATTTCTTTTCAGATTTAAATGATATTTGTGCAAAACATTTAACTAAATGCAAAATGATAGATAGATATTCTCTATTTACAAAACAAAGCAAAATTATAGATAGATATTAATTTATTGTATTAGGAAGCAATTCCCGCTTATTCCAGAATGGATCATCTTTCTCAGGTAGTCCTTCAGCATTTGCAATCATTGATGATGTATTATAAAAGAATAGATTATCATTAAAGTTTAATTGCTGTTCAATGATAAATTTCTTATTAAATGTTTCCTCTATTAGAGACTTGTATGTTACTTCACCGATTTTGGCCTTCTTAGAATGCTCTTCAAAAGAATTACCAATGATTATTAAATTTTTGAACTTTTCTAGCGATAAATTTGAGGCAAGTAGGTTATGATATAGAAATGCTGGACAATGCGGTAAGTAAAATGCTGTATTTTCTTCTGAATTATAAACACCTTCAGAATTTTCTGACAAAACTTCAAATCCCATTTGAGAAAGTATCGGCAAACAGTCAGAACATGTACAAGGATCATAATATTTCAATTTTTCGATTGATAATTCCTTTGCAATTTTTATTATAAATGATATTTGATATCTAGCAGCTAAATTTTTGCATGGATCACCAATTCCAATGCAATATATAGTTTTTATGGATTTTTGCTGAAATAAATCTTTGACGTTTTTAAAAGCTGGAAAACTTTCAACATCAAGAGATTTAACAAGTTCTGGAACTTCCTCTGATGACACTTGCACATTAAGTTGCTTGAGAATTCCTTTCTTGTTTCTCCTAGACATCAAAATCTTTAAAAAAGTGACAAAATCACACAATCATAGAGGTCTGATTTAGCTAGACAATTAATGGAGATTATTACAATCTAAATTCAGTCCGGGGCTTAAAAAGAATACTATTTTTAACTGAAATTATATTATTTCTTCAAAATTAGAGGTTTCATTGATGATTTTATCGCCAAAGTACAATTGCAAGTATGTAAAATCAGTTTATATAGCTGAAATTAAAAACTAAAGTAATTGTCATTCATCATATTAAAAGAAAAACATTAATTTTTAAATCCTGTACAAAAACATTTCAAAATAGGAAAAGTGATAATGAAAACGAAAATAATGGTGGTTATTGCATATGAGAATAGTTAATTAATAGAAATCTATTTGTTTTATAAAAATCATACATTATTATTCTTTTCTACATTAAAATGAAGCACCAACGAGCTAACATTTCATTACATTAATAGTACCCATATCTGGAGTTATGGGTTTAAAGGATTGAACAAAATTATTTTGATTTTTTGTGACATTCTTACTTCAAAATGAACATCAAGTGATCCCAATGATAAATCTAAGTTATATATCCCTTAATTTAATGACTCTTTTGAGTTGTTCATAATTTTAATTTTAAAAATTGATTTTTATACAACATATGAACTAATTAGATGGATTCTAGAAATTCACTTACTGTGGGGTTCTCAAAGATTGTACCATGAGTGTCAAAATTTTTTGCGATCAACTTTTCTTTGATTTGTTGGAAAAATCCTAAATAATTTTCTTTAATATATTCATCACCTTCATTTTCAAGAAATTCAACGAATGCATTGCCTAATTTCTCCTGTTTTGCAATAAATTCTAAAGTTCCAGGAATTTCAGCTAATGAACACATCATAGAAGACACAATGAATTCTCTCTGTTCTTGATATGGTAATTCATCAAGATTTTGTAATGTATAATCAAAAAATGTATAATTTATGAAATTTGAACCCATTTGGCTTGCCCATACCATAATATTTGAGAAACTTCTGAAAAATATCTTTGGCTGAAGCTTAATAATCTGTTGTTTTAATGAATCAAAGAAATTTGTCTTTTCATTGATTATATAATATATACCGTAGCTATTTTGGAATATGAGAGAGACTAACCAAAATAAATTATCAAATAAATCACGGCTATTTGTTGTAATTATCAAATTATTAATATAATTTCTCTTTTCTAGATTGTAAATTTCTATTAGTGTTGTCTGGCATCTTACATACACTGATAATAACACTTTGCTTGCTTCAACAGCTATTGCTTCATTATCACTTTCGAGAAAACCAAAAACTAAATTTATAACTTTAACAGCATCCCAATATGAAATATTATGCTCTGTAACTGCATGCAAGAGTTGAATCCATTCTATCAATAAACTTTCATCAGGAGGAATGATTTTGTTTAAAATTTCTTCTTCAAAAACATTTTCTGTGGATCTGAATGAATTAGCGCAAATGCCTCGAAGTAACATGTAATGGAGATGTAAATTTTGTGGACACGCAGGATAAAATTGTTTCCAAAAATCGTAAATTCCTAAATTAATTAAAGTATGAGCCGTTGATTTGTGATAAAAGCATGTATCAGCAAAAAACTCGAGTATTGATGTTTGAAGTTCTATTGTACTGTCATTGTTCAGTAATAAGCCAAAAATTTTATTAATTATTTCATTTTCATTGACATAGTAACCAACTAATAGTATATCTTGTTCGCTGAAATCATGATGCTGTTCTAAAAGTGAAAATATTGAAAGAAAATTGTTTTCTTGAATTTTATTTCCAATTTCGCTTAAATATTGACGAATATTATCTGTTGCAGGGTCATTTTTACTCTGCCTATCACTAATTAACAATAATTTTTGATTATTTTTGTTCATGAGTTGGTTGAAGATATCATTATTAGAAGACATAACAAGAATAATGACTAAAAAGGTAATATACAAAGAAACAAGTTATGGGTTAATAAAAAATGAAACAGATTTTTACAAATACTGGATAAAAAAAGAAATAATAATTTGATTTAAAGAACAATAGGAGCCGTCTTACTGAACTGCCTATTATCCTGATTTCTTGGGTTGCCAAATGCAGTAGAAGCACGTAATGTTGAAGCTCTTGTGTTTGCTCTGCTGTATTTTGGCAAAGATCGCTCACCAATGGTCCATTTGCAGCCACTTTTCTCGGTTTCGACCTTATAAGCTGCTGGCCCTGGTATATCCTTATCTGGGAAGAAGAAATTACGATCAAGAGGTCCTTTTAACTGGCAATTGATCTTTTGGAACTCTCCAGGGTTCATTGGAGTGTAATCTCCCGGTCCTGGAGTGTAAGCTGATGGTTTAACTTCAATTTTCTGGTGGATGGAAATAGGACGTAAATCTAAAGTAGTATTTGGTAGATATGAAGGTCCTGGAGAATCATTGATGTAATCAAGAGGACCACGACCACATTGCCTTGAGATTGTACGTTGCTTTATCTGTGGGAATTGACGAGTATCGTATAATGAATCTGTTGAAGCTCTAAATCCACGAGAATTGTGTGGAATTGATCTTATTGATGGACCAAGTTGAGTAGATGTAGTATATGGTCTATTTGCGCCTTCATATTGGCCAGGACCTAGAGTAATCGTTTGATAATTTGTTGTACGAGCTGCTCTGCCAAAACTAGATTTTCTAGCGTTCTTTCCGAAGTCTCCAAGTTCATTGTATTGATAACCTGGATTTGTATCTTCTGGGTTTTCAATAACGTTTATTGGACGAATTGCGACTTTGGGACATTCCTTTCCAAAATCGCTCTTCACTTCGTAAGCAGCGGGCCCTGGAGAGTCAGCGGTGAATCCTAGGAAAAGATCACCTCGTGGGCCTTGAGCTGGAATTGAAGTTGTTGAAGGTCTGGAAGGAGAATAGTCTGCAGGGCCTGGCATTTTTGGAATATTCTTCTTTTCGTATCTGCTTTTGATTGTTACTGATTTCCTGAATGTTTCTTTTGGATCCGGGACGTATTGAGGTCCAATTGTTTCTTCCATTGCACGTTTTTCAATTCGTTTACCAATAGTTATCTTAATTGGTGAAATTGTTGAAATCGGACCGATATATTGTGCTGTATTGATGTAGTCTTGATTGTAGTTATATTTGGGACGGATGGTATTTTTCAGGGATAAAGACCCTCCAATACAATGTAGTTGATCTGTTTGATATTGGCCCGGGCCTGGAGTCTTGGTTGTGTCTTGAATTGCCGAGAAACAAGCCAGAGTCATTTGATTAGAGAAAAAAAACGTTTTTTCACTGTCCTTACAATTTCTGCGTTGAATTTGTAAAATTTTGATTATTTCAACGTAGAAGAATATTTAATCTAAGAGATCTATGCTGGAGAAATTTTATCAACTTCAGTGAATTCTACCGAGGATTTATTGATATCTTGATGACATTTCTATCCACATTCAGAATTGAGCAATAACTATCATAATAAGTCAATTAAAACGAGTAATATAGTATATAAATGAATGCAATCTCATTCAATATGATGATCATAAATTGAAAGAATTTAATTTAGTGTGTTAAGACTGCTTTTCATTAAATTATCAATATACCTTCTAACATATATCTATTCATGCTATTGTCAAAATCATTATTAATATGAACTTGGCCTATAAAGAAGACTTGGATGTTGCAAGCATTAAAAATTCAGATATAGACTCCGTTGGAACAATCACACGGAGTGAATATATAGAGAATGAGTTTGAAATGAAAGGAAATTTAGTAGATTATATTAACACGTATCTAAATGCTATAAATATGAAAGATATAGCCCTTCTAAAAAGCGTTCATGACGAATTGTATAGCTATATAAATCAGAAAAAAGATTCTGGAAAAGTTTTTAAGAACATTATTGAAGATGAAACAAAATTTACTGTTAACTTTGTTGATTTCTTTAATATCATTGATGAATTATCCACACAATATCCAGACTCGATAGAATACACCGTATTCTTCCTTAATTTAATATTGGTAAATTCCCCAAAGTTATTAGAAGAACTATTTTGCTCCAACGTAATCGGATTCATGAAACATCTAATGGACATTTCAAAAGGAAGTCAGCACATGATTTTTCGATTTTTAGGTAATATGCTAAATATTTATAGTAGTTCTCATAAAGATATAAAGACAATGTTCCTAAATTTCGACACAGTAAGTGCCTGCGGTGCAATTCTCTTAGCTCCTCAAAATTCCGACCAAATTTTAAGCGTTTTACACTTTTATAACAATATTGTTCAGTGTTTTTGCGCTTCCAAGAAACAACTAATGTCATATATCTTTCAGCAAGCTATTTCATTTTTAAATTCAGAAAATCCAGAATTTATTTGGAGAATTTCAAATATTATCAAAATTAATTTCATCCAAGAAAGTGTTAATCCTGCCATCATTCAAATCATGGAAGAATTCAATGTTTTATTAACATTAAAACATATTTTTAAATATAGTTCTGATAATAAATCAATTGCAAGCATTGTTGAAGTTTTAGTTGTTTTATTGCCGCAAGGATATATTGATAGTTTCAAAGAAGAGATTGAAGAAGAAATCATGGAAAGATTAAACAAATATGAGTTGGAACAGAAGATTCTATTAGTTTACTATTCATTTTTAACAGTAAATTACAATACAATGTCTGAACAAGACTTCTTGCATAGATATTCATCTGTTTATATAGATCATATGAATTTTTATGTTGATAAGTTCATATCATCAAAAATAGATTTCAAACTAACAATATGCAAGGTAATACTAACATTTGTATCCAAGTTTAATCAAGATATGTTAAGTACATTTGAAACTCCAGAATTCTTTGGAATTTTGATGGAAATGTTAGACCAAGAAGATACAGTCAAAGCAGATGTCCTTAATGTGATATCCAGATTCTTTGAATTTGCACAATTAGATCCACAAAAAGATTTAATGAAATTAATTGATGATCCTGAAGATTTTGAGGAGTCTGTTAGAGAATTAGCACATAATGATGATGATATTATAGCTTCATCTGCAAAATTGCTAGAAACTCTTTTAGATCAAATTTATAATTCAAATGAATAAAAGAAATCTTGTTTTTTATTTATATTTCAGCTGACAAAATAAATATATTTATTAAATGACTCAATTCTTAAATTCATGTTGGCAATAGCCTTGCTAAACTTACTTATATAAATAATAACTTTGGTATAACTATATATTCTATTGATGCATTCATTATTTTAAAATATATTATACTAACCCTTGCTTAAGTTTTAAATGCAAGTGTTATATGCCATATCATTTTCTATAGCAGGTATAATTGAATTACCACTTACTGAAATAAATCTCATAAATGAAGATTTAAATATAAAATAATTTTTATTCAGAGAGACATGATATACCGTAGGTTGAATAGCCCGAGACCAATTTCAAAGGTCGTGTACCAATAAAAAATTTTGAATCAATTTACACAACGTGCCCATTTTACTCACTCAATATTTGAGAAAATAATTCAATTTTGAGAAGAATGGTCCTCTGCGTTTTGAGTGAGTGACGAAAAAAAAATCTCAGAAAAATTGAATGAGTTTTTATGGCCATGAACCAAATTTGTGAAGTTCCCGTTTAAAAAAAATGCAACCAAGAACACGAATTCCCGAGTTTGCAGAATTAGAAAACTATAAAAATCTTGGGCTATTGACCCAGATGCAACTCGATTTACTCTATCGAAGAGTAAATGGCGAGTCTTATCAACAAATACGGAATGTTTACTCAATTTCAAAGACGACAGTAGCACGCGCAATCATGCGCACTGCTACTTGTCGTTCATGGACAAAAGGTCAGTCAGGGGGTGGTATGACCCTTTTGTCACTACCAGATGAAATGCAGTTCAAAAAACTTGTTCAAGAGATGGCAGACGACTTGAACTGTATTACAACATCAATGGCCATTGCTGTCTGTACGGAATTACAAAATAGGAGATTAAAATTTGCGGCGCGGGTACTAATCGCTGCAAGATGCCCGCATCTTCTAGCGAAGCTCGATGATTACTGCCCATCGCCATCCCGTGGCTGGCTTAATCATATCGCCACAAGATTGTCAATTCGGATTGTGAGCTCCCAAACTATTGATATGCTCCGACGCTCTACCTGTGACGCAAACCATATTCGCCAATTTTTCCTCTCCAAGCATAGATACTTTGCCCGCAGGAAGAAGTTTATTGCGAATATGGACGAGACAATGCTCTATTCCAAACGTCGCTATAAAGTTCTTACTGCTGGCCGGAATCGCCCAGTTCGCGCTGAAAAGTCTCAGCTTCCACATCTTACAGGGGTCTGTACCATCTTTGCAGATGGTACAACTATGAAGCCAATGGTGATACTTCCACAAAAGAAGACCCTTGATGCGGAATTGGAAGATCTGGACGCCTTTTTTGTTCGCTCCGAGAGTGGATGGATGAACAAATACCTTTTTATGGTATACTGTATCATGTTCATCTGCAAAGTACAGGAGAAAAGGTCTCAAATGAATGTGTTTGATGCCCAGGTACCTTTTCTCCTAATTGTAGATGGTCATCCATCCAGGCTCTCTTTCTTGGCCGTTCGCCTCTTGAGCGCCTTCAATATCGAGCTTCTTGTTCTCCCAGGCCATACATCTCATATCTTACAACCTCTTGATGTTGGGATTTTTTCTCCCTTGAAGGCCCAATTCAAGAAGTTGTTTGATATGGCGACTATCCGGTACGATCAGCAAGGGCATATGGTGATCAATTATGTATGGAACGCCAGAGAACTGCGCTATATCATGGTTCGCAGCTTCCTTGATGCATGTAGTGTGTCTTGCACAGCTACAAACATCGAAAATGCTTTTAAAGCAACAGGAATCTATCCATTGGATATGAACAAACCTCTTGCTTCCAGATACATTGTAGCAAATGGAGTTCCTCCTGCAAGGCCCAATTTTGTCAACGACAAAGTCCTTACAGATCCAAATGTGATGATGCAAGTCTTCCAAATGGAATATGGACGCCCCATGCAGCAACAGGATTGGTATTTCAATCTGTTTGTGGCTATGCAATCTGTTTTGGCCTGGAATGGCGCATATGGCCAGGTTCTTAGTCGTGAGTTACATCTCCTTTATCCTACTGCAGGTGGATTTCAAAAAATCCAATTAAAATGATATAAAGCTGAGGAGCTCCAGGGTGAAGAGGAATTGATGAAGAGAGGAAGCATCTTGATGAAGAGAGGAAGCACCTTGATCAAGAGAGGAAGTACTTTGAAGAAGAGAGGAAGCACTTTGTTGAAGAGAGGAAGCACTTTGAAGAAGAGAGGAAGCTGCATGATGAAGAGAGGAAGCACTTGATGAAGAGAGGAAGACACTTGATAAGAGAGAGAGCAGCTTGATCAGAGAGGAAGTACTTTGAAGAAGAGAGGAAGCATCTTGATGAAGAGAGGAAGCACTTTGAAGAAGAGAGGAAGCACTTTGTTGAAGAGAGGAAGCACTTTGAAGAAGAGAGGAAGCTGCATGATGAAGAGAGGAAGTACTTTGAAGAAGAGAGGAAGCACTTTGTTGAAGAGAGGAAGCACTTTGAAGAAGAGAGGAAGCTGCATGATGAAGAGAGGAAGCATCTTGATGAAGAGAGGAAGCACCTTGATAAAGAGAGGAAGCATCTTGATCAAGAGAGGAAGTACTTTGAAGAAGAGAGGAAGCACCTTGATCAAGAGAGGAAGCTGTATCTTGATCAAGAGAGGAAGTACTTTGAAGAAGAGAGGAAGTACTTTGAAGAAGAGAGGAAGCACTTTGAAGAAGAGAGGAATCACTTTGTTGAAGAGAGGAAGCACTTTGAAGAAGAGAGGAAGCTGCATGATGAAGAGAGGAAGCATCTTGATGAAGAGAGGAAGCACCTTGATAAAGAGAGGAAGCATCTTGATCAAGAGAGGAAGTACTTTGAAGAAGAGAGGAAGCACCTTGATCAAGAGAGGAAGTACTTTGAAGAAGAGAGGAAGTACTTTGAAGAAGAGAGGAAGCACTTTGAAGAAGAGAGGAAGCACTTTGAAGAAGAGAGGAATCACTTTGTTGAAGAGAGGAAGCACTTTGAAGAAGAGAGGAAGCTGCATGATGAAGAGAGGAAGCATCTTGATGAAGAGAGGAAGCATCTTGATGAAGAGAGGAAGTACTTTTAAGAAGAGAGGAAGCTGCATGATGAAGAGAGGAAGCATCTTGAAGAAGAGAGGAAGCTGCATGATGAAGAGAGGAAGCACCTTGATCAAGAGAGGAAGCTGCATGATGAAGAGAGGAAGCACCTTGATCAAGAGAGGAAGTACTTTGAAGAAGAGAGGAAGCATCTTGAAGAAGAGAGGAAGCACTTTGAAGAAGAGAGGAAGCATCTTGATCAAGAGAGGAAGTACTTTGATGAAGAGAGGAAGCATCTTGATGAAGAGAGGAAGCTGCATGATGGAGTGAGGAAGCATCTTGATCAAGAGAGGAAGTACTTTGAAGAAGAGAGGAATCACTTTGTTGAAGAGAGGAAGCATCTTGATGAAGAGAGGAAGCATCTTGATGAAGAGAGGAAGCATCTTGATGAAGAGAGGAAGCGTAAGAACCGATAACATTTACAAAATATTAAATTTATTTTGTAAATTTTCCAAAAGCCTTAGTACCAATGTAATATAAATGCTCCAAAAATACCATCCCTCCTTCCAAAAGCGTAAGAACCGATAACATTTACAAAATATTAAATTTATTTTGTAAATTTTCCAAAAGCCTTAGTACCAATGTAATATAAATGCTCCAAAAATACCATCCCTCCTTCCAAAAGCGTAAGAACCGATAACATTTACAAAATATTAAATTTATTTTGTAAATTTTCCAAAAGCCTTAGTACCAATATAATATAAATGCTCCAAAAATACCATCCCTCCTTCCAAAAGCGTAAGAACCGATAACATTTACAAAATATTAAATTTATTTTGTAAATTTTCCAAAAGCCTTAGTACCAATATAATATAAATGCACTAAAAACCCAACTGCCAATAGCATGTATTCAAAAAATGCAATTCAATACAAATTTGATTGCATTTTTTGAGATGGAAGTGTATCTGAATTCACAATTGTAATCCACGAATACACTTCCATCTCATTGATAAGAGGCTAATGTTTTTCTCATTAATAAGGCGCTGTTGGCCTCTATCCATAGCCGAAGTGATATTAACGTATGTTAACGTACAAAGTAAAAACATGTTTATTCTTTTTAAAATCATTTAGTAATTAATAATATTTAGCACTCATAGTAAAAACATTAAAATTTATAAGAATCGTTATGAAGAAAAATTGAGAACTTATGATTTTTATTTAAGAAAATGATTAAATAATATATAAATAACCATATAAACAACATTTTAGATTCCTCTGAAAAGGGTATCTCAAATTGGTCTATGACCAATTGAATGGTTCGCCGGTTATTCAAGGTACGGTAAAAATTAATTTTCAATTTCAAACAGATTTAATTTTTGAGGGAATTTTTTCTTCAGTGCTTCAGCGCACTCTTCATCAATTTTTACCTTTGCTTCATCATTTCCCTCTTTGGCTATTTGTAAGGTTATATAGGCATCAATTATCTTCAGTATGTTTTCTGCTGATTCCTTGGTTTTATTATAAATAACCATTTCGCCAAAAATAATATCCAATGAATTGACAAGCATTTCAATTTCTTCTCCATTAGCAAGTTTTTGATTGATTAAGAAGGTGATAAACCAAAATGCTTTCATTGGATCAGCAAAAGATGTTGGAATGAAAAGACTTGATCCATCAATTTTTGAAATCAAGGGAATTATCACATCCTTGTTATTTGCATAAATTTTTGCGAGTATAGTTATGATATTACGAATTGAACTTAATCCAATATGTTCTTGAAGGACTGAAATTAACGTCTCTGCGATTTCAGCTAGTTGATCTGGATCTTCAATATAATCTATTGGCTTGGTGATTGTTTCAAGAATTTCATCTAATTTTGAAAGATCCTGAATGTTTTTGATCAATTCGATTTCCATTTCTATTAAAATAGAAACAATTTGAGGATTTGTCTTTCCAAACACATCAACTATAGCGCCAACAATGAAATTTCCATCCTCCTCAAAGTCATGCTGATATAATTCTATTCCGAAATTTAATGCTTTTTCAGCAGATTCCTCAAATAAATTTCCTGCAAGCTTTACTGCTGGAACCAATGCATGTACTGCAGGACCAATTAAAATACTTGCTGGGTTGCCCTCATAAATTAATATTGCATAATCAAGCAACTGTTGAGCGCATTGATTTGACAATTCATCTCCGAAAAATTGTATAATTTCCGAATATGAAAATAAGCATTTGGCGAGAACATCTTCATCCTCTTGATTTTCTTCAATCTTTGATGATATGAATTCCCAAAAGAAATTATTGATTTCATCCTTTTTCAAATAACACAATGAGCTTATTAAGATATTAGATGCTTCATGAAGTTTTTCATCTTCATTCAAATACAATTCACAAGCAAGATTGATAATTTCATCATCTGGTATCAAAACATTCTGTCTGATGATAAATGATATGAATTCAACATAAGAAGACATCATTTCTACACTTTCGTCTTTTGGAATCTTTTCAATAATTGTTTCAGGAGGTAAAATTTCAAACACTGCAGGGACAGCTACTGCACTATATTCATAGAAAACAACAGCTGATCTAATAATGTTTTTATCATCTGATTCAAAACGATCTAAAATTGCTTGGAGAATCTGTGATAAATCATCCCCAAATTTCTTCATGAAATCAGAAAAAATAAAGTTAAAACGAGTGCTTGAAAAATAATCCTCTTTTTCTATTGCTTTCGCATGTCCTGCAATCATATATTGCATAAATTGCGAGAAATCAACATCATTTGGAAGGCGAACTTTGTAGTTGTTGACGAATCTATATGATAATGGGTTTGTCATCATAATGCTATATGTTTTTTGAATAAATCCCGGATATATTTCTTCAACTTCAGATAAATAGGCTCTTCCAAAAATTTTTCCAATTAAATATGGATATGAATTAAAAAGATCGAGCAAATTAATCAAAAAATCAGCAACTTTCTGGTTTGCTTGAATATTTCTGAATTTACTTATTAATTTTAATATGACATTAATTGTTTCATTGCTCCAATTTCTTGAATTGATTAAGTCTATTAGTTCTTCATATCCAATTGTAGTTCTTGCTAAACATGAAATTAAGTTTCTCAATTCATCTTCATTGCTTGTTTCGCGATTCATAAATTCTGTAATCTTGTTGACAACGAGCTCTCTTGCTTTTTCTTTAATTATATGACTATCTTGATATCTCATTTTTGTGCATTCTATAAAAGATTTCCTTGATGCTACTCCAAAATCATTATTTTGCTCAATAAATTGACTTAAACATGAAATAATATTATCCTGAAGCGTTTGGAACAATTCTAAACCTAACTCATCAATATTGATTCTTATAGCATTTGATGGCTTGTTCAATGGGACTAAAATCGAATTAATGGCGCTTAATCGAATTTTCTGAGGAATTTGATCGTCATTGATAATTTCAATAAGAGATTGCAAATATTGCTGCGGCTCCTTGCATTTGAGCATGGTCAGGTAGTCAAAGCATTCGCTTGAAGGATTTTGATTTAGAACAATCTCGGAGAAGAAGTTATAGAACTCTGAGTTCATTATAACAAAATGAAATAAAAATTGAAAAGTGACATTTCTTCCAACAAAATTTTTGTCGTGCGAATTCGCTCTCAATTATTTTCTTAATTTTTATAATTTAATTCTTTGGTTTTGAAGTTTTTATAAATTATAAAAATTTATTCCATTTGAGTTTTTTTGATAACAATTCTTTTTTTTTGTTTTGGATATTTCGGAATGTTTCATTTATCAATCTTTTAGAATTCACTTACTTTTCTCATTTGTTCTTATGTATATATAAAACAACAAGTTATGGAAGAATATTTCTTTGATTATCAATTTTCAGGCCGAAAAAACATAATGATTCACACATATATGAATTTTCATTAGAGAATATGTAATAATACTCTATAAAACAATTCAGGTTTGATGAGCTGTCACTTTTTAAATGTCGAAATTAACTCGTGAACAAAAAATTGCTTTAGAGAAGAAAAATCTTCGTCGCAACAAACCAGCTGACGTCAACATTGAATGGATTCCAGCAAAAGAAGGCGAAAACGAAAAAATGCGTTTCACTTTGAAAGGACCAGAGGATTCCATGTACAAAGAAGATATATTTGTTGTCGAAATTGAATTCCAACCAGAATATCCCCAGTCAGCTCCAAGAACAACTATGCTTACAAAGATTTTCCATCCGAATATCGATACAGACGGAACCATATGCATTAATGCTATTAGAGGTGGATACTTCCCAGGACAGTCTCTTGTTCAGATCATCGAAGAAGTTAAAATGGCATTAAAAGATCCAAATCCAGATGATTATCTCAATAGAGAAGCAGCTCAGCTTATGAAAAGTGATATAGAACAATTTAAGTTAGTAGTTTCTCGCCAAATACAAAAGAATATTGAAGAAAGAAACTCAACAGCATAAAATATTGTTTTGAGTATATTAAAAGACCTAAATTGTTTTCAATAAAATCTTAATTTTTCGTGGTATACAAAAACAAATATATTTAACAGAACAAAAACGAAAAAATAAAAAATAAATATAGTAATTAGCTAAATACGATGATGTAAGCATTGAAAATCTACGGTAAAATTAAGCCACTATAAATCATCATCGGAAGAAGATGAATCTGAAAACTCTATAATATCATCGAACCCAAAAGTTGGAGAAAGAGTTACAAAGAATAAAATGTAAAATATTTCGAATGAGCTTAATTCCATAGTATCTCTTTTTGGATAAAATAATGCTTCTGGCGAGTAAGTGTAAGCTGCGATCGCTAAGCTGCCAGTTATTGCTACAATTGATATTGCAATTATTTCTATTGAGTAATTGTATTTATATAAAATATATGGAATTGAAAGACTCGACCAAAACAGTATAGGAAAAATCCAATTAAGTATTGAATGCCTTAGTATATTTCCTGCGGGATCGTTTGTTATTAAAATATTCTTCTCTGTAATTTTTTCATTTGATAAGTAGCCATTAACACATGGATAATGATAAATCGTCTTATCAATGTATTTTTTTTCTTCGCAGAGCTTAATAACATCATCGGCTGTTGGTATAAAGCTAAATTCTAGTATATGAGGTGATGTTGGATCCCAGTCTAATGACACACTTATTGAAACCATATTTTTTTTTATTTACAATTTTTTGAATGTTTTTTTTTAACAAAAGTGGCAATATTAGTATTTTAATTGGAAGTGATAAGTTTGCAATTTCTGGGCCTTTTTAAGAACACTGGAATCATGAGATTGTATTACAGTGATTCATATTATTAGAATAAACCCATTTGATGGCATCTTTGAAAGAATTAATAAAATGAATTTGACTTATCCAAAATTATTTTATTTCAGTTAAACAAAAGATGTAAACACATCAAGAAATAACTTCTTGAGATTATTAACATAAAAAGGAAAATTTACATTCAAAATAACGTTTCCAAATCGGGAGGGTTCAAATTATCTGACGGGTATAAATTGGGTTTTGAGGGTATTTGTAAATCATATCGTACTCATTTGTGAGAATTGGAGTTTTTTTTTTACATTAAAATATTTTTGCCGATTATAAAAATGGCTCAAAGGGATTTAATTGTTTTCGAGTGCATTTGAAAATTTATCATTAGATCGGCATCTGAACCCGGCAGCAATTTTTGAACCCGAAAAATTTGGAAACGTTATAATGAAAAATTATCTAATATTAAATGAATAAATTTACATACAAAATAATAAATATAATAAAACAAATCTATATAAATATTGGTTGTTTCCGTGTCTTAGCAATCTCACTTTTGGAAGTGATGGATCGTGTTGATGTTTTACTTGTTACAGGACGAACAAAATTAGGTTTTCTTGATGACGGAACATTAGAAGTGGAAAGGAAATTAGGAGGAAGAGCACGATATTGCATGTCTTGAGGAAGTTGTGAGATTTGTTCAGTAAGTTTATCAATGTTTCGTCTTAACTGTGCGTTTTGTGCTTTAAGTTGTTCATTCTCTTGAACGTATTCTTCATATGTTGGTGATCTTTTTTGTGTGATATCATTGTAATCAAGTTGAGAAAGTTGCGAAACACTTCCTAAGATTCGTGAACGTTCAATTCGTGTTCTTGATATTGCAGTACGAACACGTTGGCTTTGTCTAATTGGTTTTCTAATTTCTTCTTCAATTTCATCTTCCAATGTGTTGTTTTCTTCTTCTAATCGACTTAATTCGTCTTGTGCTGAAGAGAGTTTTTTCAATAATTGGCCAACATTGCTGTTTCCAAGTGATGTTTCAATGGATTTTATTTGATCATTCAATTCAACAATACGAGTACAATTTGTTGCTTTCCATTGAACCATCTGAATATTACTAGATTTCTCAATTTCAAGTGAGTTTTTGACACTTTCTATGTTATATTCATCTTCAGAAAGTCTTTTTTGTGCTTGTTTAAGTTGTTCTTCCATCTCTTCACCGTGTGTTTCGTATGTGAGACGATTAGACCATAAACTAGCATTAACAATACGACGATCGTCTTTTGCCATTTGTACTTTCTTGGAAAATGAACGTTCAAGAGCAATTTTTCCCATTGTTCTCAAAATTCTAAGAATTTTGACTTTCTTTATTAAGTATTCGTTTTTACTTTTAACATTAGAGAGAATGTTTTCGTTTTCTTGAGCAGTTGGTGATGTTGATTTATGGTAATCATTATCCAATGAATGCGGCTTCTGAAGGATGTTTAAAATGCATTGATATGTTTTTCTTTTTCTCATTACAAATTTTGATTTTTCATGTTCAACTTCTTTAGAAATGTCTTGAACAAGAGAATCAAATTCTTTACGAATTGATGATGCAATCTCGTTGTTTGTTTCATCCATTGTATGAAGGATTTCTCTTCGTTTTTGATCTAGTTTGTTTAATTCACAAATTTTATCAAAATAAAGAGAAGAAATACTTATAGAAACTTCACTTTTGTAATTTTCTGATGTCAAATGTTGAATAATAAATGAACTTTCTATACTTTCCTTGATTTTCTTGAGTTGAAGCATTGCTGACAAATTGTATTGTTTCCAAGTATAAACTTCATCATGAATACTTGCGGAAATGAATGTTTGTAATGATTCACTAAATTTAGACAATTCTTCTTCGAATTTTTTAGAATCCAAAACAAGTAATTTTTCTTTATTTTCATCTTTAGAATGTGGAATTCTTGTTATACAATCATTGATGATTTTTGAAAGATTACTAACTAAAACAGCTGTTGAATAATCCATTTCATCATTGAACTGACTGTTTGCTGATTGTGGACTAATAATAAATGCATCTTTATCTTCATTTTCAACACTATTAATTCTGACATTAAAAGAAACAGGTTTCATATCTCTTAAATCTTTGTTTTTTGTGTTTAATGAGTTCATTACATTTGTTATTAGTTTCTCAAGGTTTTTAGCTTGTTGTTGTGAAACTAAATTCTCAATGTGATCAGATAAAAGATCAATAGCACATTTAGTAAATTTATATTGTTGGTGAGGAGTAACAGTTTTCTCTGGTTGATCACCAGGTTGTGTGATCTTTTGAAGACATTCTTTCATGATTCCATCTACCCAGTAATTATGGCTTTTGATGTATTGTTCTTGCGTGATGTTTGTTATTGATGTCAATGAGTTCAATGTTTCGTAATGAACGTGTTCAAGAATTTGGAAATATGAGAGTTTCAAAGATATCATTGAATTATAGATATGTGCGAAATCAGTCATCGGAGTAACCATTTGGAAAGAATCAATATAATTTCCATTTCTCATTGGTTTCAATGCGGCGTCAATGAATTGCTCAATAAATGTAATTTGCTGAGAAAAGTGTTTTCGTTCGTCATCCTGCATTTTATAACAAAATTCGGATTCCCAACGAGGTAAATAACGTAATGAACTCAAACAATTCGTTGGCAATTCATCAAGCAGACTAATAATAAATTCTTTGATGACACCAGCGTATTGAAGTTCTTTCTGTCCTGAAGGAATGAATTCTTTCTGTGAACTAACAGAAAGATCACCTTTAAGACTTGTGAAAAATGTTTCATAACAATATAATAAACTTGTATGAATTATTGTTAAAAACAAGTTCTCTTTGTCTTTGACGTATTGTGACAAAGTATCAATCTCTCTCGCATTCGGCATTCTCGAAAATTCATTCGACAATTTCTGGAAAATGGCAGTTTCAACTAATAATTGATGATTTGACAATGATTCGAAAACTAATGAAAGTTTTTGATCCAATGTCGCAACAAATCTCGTGTAAGAGATGATTCTCAATCTATAAATAACATAAGGCACTAAAAACTTCAATATCTCACTCTGTCGATCGTATTCAACAGTTGAAACCATGTCGAAAACTTCTGTCCAAGTTGGAACATAAAAGAAATTTTCGAATCTTCCAGCTTCATTAACAAACAACTGACCATCTAAAGGTCCCAAAGCGAAAGTATCAACGAAAGAATTAGATAACAACAAGCGGCGTTCGCAACCACATATCCTTGCAATCTCTATTCTATAAAGGAAAGCAGAGAAAGTCTCAATCATTTGCTGTTGATAAGTTTCTCTTAATTCTTGCAAATTTCTTGATTTTGCCATTTGTTCTAAATTGTTTCTTACATGAACTTTGATGTTTCTTATGTTCAACATCACGTTCATTCTATTCTGTTTAACACGCTGATAGGATTTAAGTAGCTCTTGACTATCATAGAAAACAATTGTCGCTGCAAATCTTTTATTATAGATTTTCGCTTCATTTTCTATTATGTCATTTGCAACTTCAGTTCCTGTTACGAAAAACGTGTTATCAGAAACATTATCCAAAGAAAACATGTCAACAATCTGTTGTGTATCTAAAAAGAAGTCGTTGTATCTGATACTTACTTCCAATATCATGTTCTGATTCCTTTGGCATCGAAAAACTTCATCGACATTCTTCAAATGCCCAGAAAAAAGAAAATCTTTGATAACTGTCAAACTATTGAAATCCAATTGTACTGGAGAGAATTCGTTACTTGCAAATTCTATGATGTCTTCTTGCATGACATCCTTTTGGTTCGCCAATCTTTGGTTCACAAAAGGAGAAAGGTTAACAGCAACATCAGGAGTTGAAAACTTCTTACATTGTGCTAAATATGATTGTTGCAATTCACATGTAATTAAAATTTCATCTTGTAAGTTCCATACGTAATTTAAAAGTCTCCTGACACTTAAAAGAAATCTAAGCTTGCGCCCTTCGTTCATTCCCGTCATCATGGAATCAATTGTATAAATATCGTTAACGTATGGACTCATAAAAAGTGACGCGACACTGTCAGAAAGTTGGAAAGGTATTTTATAGGGTAATTGGTCGTAAGGGAATCTTCCGTTTGTTCCCATCTGTGTTATCATGTTGATTACTTCGTTCCAGATGGCAACTTCCATGTAAGAATAAAATTTGTCACTTTTTGCATCAATTGATTCCAAAAATTCGGGAACTAAGTTTGCTACTTGGTCGAAAATGCCTCCTATGATGGAAAGGTTCTCGTAAACTTCAAATGGGGAAATTGGAACTCCGCCATCTGTTATTGGTTGCAAATGAGTGTCGTCAATGAGGTGTGGACGGTCGAAAATAGGGATTGGATCAGTCATCATCGATGAACATTGCCTTTCATGGATAATTTGCATGTTTATCAGCTTTCTGACAGCTAATGCTTGTAATTCAAGGGATTGAGAGAGATATTTGAAAGAATACTCGTAGGAATTGAATAAGGAGACATCAAATGATGGAACTGAGTTGATTGTTTTGTGAATTTGTTCAATAATTTTATCATCTTGCTTATGAGCAAGAATTTCGAACAAAGCAGATACTAAATGATACTTAGCAACTGATAAGTCGAAAAGACATGTTAAAAGTCGCTCAACTGTTGATTCTCTGTCAATAATTTTTTGATCGTTCTTTTCAAGCTTAGATAAGAAGTTTCCGACCAATCGAGATAGCTTAGAAACAATCTCTGAACATATCTTATCTGTCATTGAGAAGATAAATGGTCCTTCTTCATCATATACTTCAATAAATTCCGAAAATTTTTGGGATTTCCTTATTTTTATATTCGTTGAAGGGTTACTAAGAAAATAACGCACGTACTGGAAGTAGTTTGTGTAATGAACAAAGGCTTCCCATAAATAACGTAATCTCATCCATCGAAGTTCCATCCATGTGTAAATTTTTGTAAGGAATAAATTTACCTTTCGGTGAGGTTGTAATGCTTGGCCGATAAATGTTGGATAAAACGAAGATTGTTCGCGAATATTCGAAAGAATTTGTTCTGGACGAATGGTAGGTATGGAATTGATAAGGTTACTGATCGTATGATCCTCTGGGATTTGAGCAAGAAGTGAATTATAAATCAAATAATGAGTAGGTTGGTTTACACGAGGAATTGGAATGTCAATGTTCTTGCGCCTGATATCGTTAATCTGGAATTTCCTGAAATATGATGAAAACAGCTTCTCACAGTGATACATAAAACTTTGACTGTCATTTTCATCGATATCTTGCGTTATTCCAAAGAATCCTGCAAGCCTATGTAATTCTGAATCTAATTGTTCCTCTTTTTGTAGATACATCGGTATAGAATTTGTATTACGATCAGTTATGATCAAATTCAAGCAAGTTTCGGAAAATCGCTTCAAAATTTCCCTTCTTTTGGTAATGGGAAATAGTTCTACTGATTTTAATGCGTATTTTATTATAGCGCACTTCCGTCTTTGATCAAATAACGTAAATATCTCGTTTCTAACATCATTAAAGTTAAAAGAAGTGAATGTTGATGGTCCTAATCTTGAAAGTGTGTCGTTACATGATAAATTGTACTTAGAAACCTCTTCAACAACTAACGATAATTGTGGAATTACGTCTTCTAAGCAATCTAGCTTATTAAATCTTTCGGTAATGATTTTGTATTTTTCTTCAACGCGTTTCTTTTCGTTATTGAAGAAATTTGTAAGCTCATTTGCAACATCTGTTGGTAAATCAATGGAAGTACTGAGATTATCGAGAATTTTTTGTGAAAATGAGCATGGCTGAGGTATTTCTATGGTCTTTTTGAGATTGTCGATCAATTTTAGTTTAGATTCATGGAGATTAATAAATTGTGGAATTTCTGTGTTGGAATTGCGCGAGCAAGCAATTTCAACTGGTGACATTGATTCCACTTTCGACATAAATTCATGTTTGAACTTTTCTTGAAGCTTTTCTATATAAAAATCTCCATCCTCCATGAATTTTGTTGAGAGGAAAAAACGAACTTTTTTCCCTCAATCATCCAATTCAAAAAATCTATAGTTCATTTATATAAAGGCTTCCATAATAATAAATATTTAAAATAACAAATAAATTAAATCATAACAGCAGCTAAATTCAAAGTCATTCCTAAAACAGCCTCCTTTTTATGTTTTTTAGGAATTTGCTCTTTAGTTCGTTCAATAAAAACAGGCTTTGGCTTTGGAGTTATAACGTGAATCTCTGTTTCTTTTGGAGTTAAAAGAGGAGTAATTCCTGGAGTTGTTGCAGCTGTAATTACTGGAGTTGTATGAGCAGTTTTAAATGGTGTTCCTACGGGAGTTTCTTTTTCTGTAAGTAATGGAGTTTGGACTGGAGTTTCTGCTTCTGTAACGAAAGGAGTGAGGAATGCAGTTTCAAAAGGAGTCTGAAATTCTGTGATCACTGGTGTTAAAACAGGCGTTCCAAAGGGAGTTTCTTCTTCTGTATTAAAAACTGTCTGGAATGGCGTTTGAAATTCTGTAATCATTGCTGTCTCAAATGGAGTTTCGCTTTCAGTTATCACCATTGTTTCGAAAGGGGTTTGAAACTTTGGATCTTCAGGAATATTTATTGTTGATAAAGGAGTTGAAAATTGAGTTATGAATGGCGTTTGCTCATATGTACTTGCAGGTGTTTGATAGTATGTTTGAATTGGTGTAATCCCTGGTGTATCAAACATGGTTATCAGTGGAGTTTGATGATATGTTTCGAATGGTGTCAAATAAGGTGAAACATATGGAGTAATTAGTGGAGTTGTTTCGTATGTTATCATTGGAGTTTCGACATTTGTAATCACAGGAGTTGTTTCGAATGTTATCATTGGAGTTCCAATTGGGGTTAGTAAAGGTGTATTTTGTGGTGTTATTATTGCTGTAGTAAATGGCGTGATAATTGGAGTGAATATTGGTGTTTGGGGCGGTTTCTTGATACAGACACCATCAACGTTATCAAACCCATTTTTGCATACCTTACATTGATTAGAGGATTGCTTACATTCTCCACAATTACTTGGACATATCGGATTTATTTCAATGTAACCATTCGAGGATTGTCTGGCGTTCCAAGTATCAGATAATTCTACATAATTTCTTGTGTAAGACCGTTTCCCACCATTTCCTCCTAAACCACCTGGATACCCATTTGCCTTACCACCTTGACCACCTCCTGCAATAACTAATTTATCTCCTGATTGAAAACTTATATATGAAGCACCGCCACCACCACCGCTATATTTATTACCTTGTAATGGAGTTCCATCTTTTCCACCATAATCTCCTCCAAATCGACCATTTCCCGGGGAACCAACAAATATTGTTAGAACCTGATTTGAAGGAATACGTAATATACCACATATTTGTTTACCAAATTCACCATTTGTGGATTCACCATTACCCTTACCTTTATCAGATCTTGGATTTGCACCTCTTGCTCCAACTACAACAAATGAGTATTCTCCTGCAGTTGCTGAGAAATGTTTAATACCGGGGCTTCTAAAAACTTCTGACTGCATCAGAGCAGCAAAGAATAAAAGCATTGGCAGAAAAAATATTTTTCGAACTTCTCAAAATTAAATTGAAGACAATCATCCCCATTTTGTAAATATTTTTTACATATTTTCCCAACTATATGTAGATGGATCTGTGAGCGTTAATCATTGATTTTTTTTGGATTTATATAATTATATTGATTATGACAAAAATTGAATGGGTACATTGAATTTTAATCAACGTAAAGAATTCAAAATTTGGGATAATGTCTTCTTAATTTCAACTTTATTTTATCTTTCATAAGATGGAATTCGTATTTACTGTTTTTACTATTATGTTTTAATTTTTAAATAAAAAATTGAAAAGCTCTCAATTTCAATCAATCGGTTAATTGAAAATGTTATAAGTCGACTCAGCAAAAAATACATTAGAAACATAAAAATGTCTGATATTAGTGAATTGAGACAATGATCTCCTAAAAAATACCCTCAATTTTTAACTTTTGCAACTCCAAAAACCAGGTGTTTTTCCAGAACTACCATCTAGGATGAGTCCTAGGAGCTATAATTCTAGGGTTAGATGATACCCACTTAGTACTTTTATTTGTATATGTTTTAGTGGAATTTGGTGAGGGGTCATGAAATTCGTATCTAATTTGCTATCATCTAAGCTGGTAAAAGTTAGAGAAAGCTATTTACTGGTTATATATTACAAATATACCTTGTAATAGAAAATATAAGTGTTTGTGATTTAAATTCGCTCAATTAGCTCGAAAATTTGTTTTATATCCATGACAAACTAACACAATCCTATTTATGTGATTCCCAATCTCTTCCCAAAATATATCAGCATGAATATATATATATTGATATTATTTGCAATTTCATCATTAAATAGTACTTTTTTTTCTATTTTTAATTTAGAAATAGTATATTTATTTGATAGCGACACAAGATTTTAATTAAAAAATATATGTTATCGATCATCACACTCAAATTGAATTTCAAAAATTTTAGAATTTTTCAATTTCAATATTGAAAATATATTTCTTATATCATAGCGATTCATGTTATAATAATATGGAGAAAAATATTGTTTTAAATCTAAAATTTAAAATGAATGATTGGGCATTACATTAATCCAATTTATTGTTTATTTGTTAATCTAGTGGAAACAATTAATATTTTGGAGAAACAAAAATTTGAAATTTGAAATTTTGAAAAAAATGCATGAATCGGTAATTAAACATTGATTTATTAATTTATTAGCCATGCTTTTGATGTTGGTCTTATTCTTAAGCCGATTTAAAGAATTAATTTTTCCAAATCGTGTTTGACATTAACACATATAGATATATCAGGAAAAAAGGTATCACTTATCAAGCTATTGGTTTTTATGTATCTCCTAACTTTGCCTCGTTCTGAATACAATTCTAGTTAACGAATTTTAAATAACTATATGAAGAATACATCATTTTGGTTTTATTATTATTAAAATGATATATATTAGCTATGCATATGCTTGTAAGAATATTATTCCGTGAATTGGAAACAGAAAAAATAAATTTAGACAGAAAATGCATATCTTTAAAAAATAATATGAAATTTAGCTTTGATATTATTATCCGATAAAATATGCATGATAATTACTCCGCAAATAAAATTTAGGAAGTATCGTTTTATCAGGCAACAAGAGGTCTTGAAATGAGTAAAGGACTGATCACCCTTGAAAGGTTCAAACTTGCTTGCGCGCCGCAGTCTTAAAAATGATATGTTTCACTTCTGGTCGAAAATTTCAACCTCTATGACAGTTGTTGGATGAACAATTGTGTAGCGGGATGAAATCTGAGTGCGGCCTGGGGCTGCAGCATCAATCTTCCCGGCATCTTTACCGCAATCATCTCTTAGATTGCACACAAAGTTGCGAACGAGCAGCTTTCTATGCGGTAAAGATGCCGGTAAAAGAGAGCCGTAGTGATTCTCTGCTGCAGCGTCAATCTTCCCGGCATCTTTACCGCAATCATCTCTTAGATTGCACACAAAGTTGCGAACGAGCAGTTTTCTATGCGGTAAAGATGCCGGAAAGAGAGAGTCGATGTGAGGTTCTTTTCGAGGGCTCCTCGAATGAGACACTGTTCCGCATTCATAACTTGAACGCGGAAGTTTGACCGACAAGAGTGTATTGTGCACTCCTGTCGGTCGCAGTGTCTCATTCTGGGAGACATTGCCTCTGCATGTCTCCCAGAATGGAACAATGTTCCGCATTCATAACTTGAACGCGGAAGTTTGACCGACAAGAGTGCATTATCCAATCTTTTTTGTCATATACCTCAACCCACAAAGACAAAACCTTACATAAAATAGGTAAACTTTGGTTTTCACTTAATAATGTTTATTTTTAATTTTTTGTTCTTTATATAACTTTTTCTTCTACTAAACTATTTTACAGACTCTACTGAGCTATCCTCACATATATACATGTGACAATAACACATATATACTCCCTTCATATTCTGATCTCATGACATATTACAGCACAAACTATAATTATACAACATACCTCATAAAGTCTGATTTTACCCCTATCTAAGCGTTCAAAACCTATTTTCCCCACGTAATCTGATTCTTCTGGCTCTGCTGATTCGACTTCTGCTGTCAGATCGTGAAAATATGCATCACACAATGAGATAAACACAAAATACACAACTTAATATTTTCCTTAAAATTGTCAATTCCTCGATCTTGACATATTTATTATTTCCTCCGTTTTCCCTCACAAATATATTTAATTTTCTGAACTTGAAGAGAAATTTTAAGGAAAATATTAAGTTGTGTATTTTGTGTTTATCTCATTGTGTGATGCATATTTTCACGATCTGACAGCAGAAGTCGAATCAGCAGAGCCAGAAGAATCAGATTACGTGGGGAAAATAGGTTTTGAACGCTTAGATAGGGGTAAAATCAGACTTTATGAGGTATGTTGTATAATTATAGTTTGTGCTGTAATATGTCATGAGATCAGAATATGAAGGGAGTATATATGTGTTATTGTCACATGTATATATGTGAGGATAGCTCAGTAGAGTCTGTAAAATAGTTTAGTAGAAGAAAAAGTTATATAAAGAACAAAAAATTAAAAATAAACATTATTAAGTGAAAACCAAAGTTTACCTATTTTATGTAAGGTTTTGTCTTTGTGGGTTGAGGTATATGACAAAAAAGATTGGATAATGCACTCTTGTCGGTCAAACTTCCGCGTTCAAGTTATGAATGCGGAACATTGTTCCATTCTGGGAGACATGCAGAGGCAATGTCTCCCAGAATGAGACACTGCGACCGACAGGAGTGCACAATACACTCTTGTCGGTCAAACTTCCGCGTTCAAGTTATGAATGCGGAACATTGTTCCATTCTGGGAGACATGCAGAGGCAGTGTCTCCCGAAATGATACCGTCATACCAACACCAATTTATTCCTTCTTTCCATTGTCATACAATTCAATATTTTTATCAATCTTAATCAACTTTTTTTATTCTTCTTTAATTCAATTTATCTTTCTCCTAGAATATCTATTCCTTTAACAGACATAAAATCACTAATCGAGCTTTTTCAATACTCAAAATTTCATATAAATCTTTGTTATTTTTTCTCTCATCGCTTATTTTATTAAATATACATATTTCCTCTCATATATCCCTCTTCATATATATTGGATCTCAACACTCATCTATTAGAACAATATATTTTCGCTTAATCTCATATTATTCATTAACAATCTTTCATCATCTTATTTCTAGTTAACCTACCAATATATATATAGAATATATGCCCAATTACATATTCAGATACATTAAATTCAAGAAATTCTTCTAATATTATTCTCCTATTCATAATAAAATCATATTTAGTCTCACATCACAATTCTATCAGTTCTCCAATATCATATCATATTGGTAACATCACATATATCTCTTATAATATCACTTAAATTTGTATTTTTTTATTAATTATATTTAATTAGTTCTACATTCTATTATTATAGAGGTTTGACAAACTCATCAATAGTTAAAATCAAAATCTATTCAGAACTTTGAATCTAATGAAAATTACATTTCGATATCTTTTTGCAAGCTTAATTTTTTGTATTATCTTAAAATACATTTAGTAATGTTATGTACGTATTGAATTCAAATTATAGCGCAGTAACATGCAACTCATCTTGAGATTCACATTTCATTTTCACAATTATTGCATATATACATCAATAACATATTGTACTCATATATCTACACGACTCTAAACTCAATGACATCAAGTAATGCTTGTAATATTTAAAATAATTTTTGCATTTTTGATTCTCAGCTTAACTTCTATAAATGTCACCAAAACATTTCATTCCTACCAAGAAATAATATATTAGTAATTAAGCGTTTATTACCATTGTTACTCACATCATATTAATTCATTTTTGTAATTTTTTAAATAAATGACTGGAATCATAAACCCTATGTACCCATATCAACATGTTAAAATTTCAAAGTCTGAAACTTAGTATACATTGAGTTTCATGAAATCAGATAATCTCGTAGATTTCTTAAATATTATATATTGCTGGCCAATAATGATGCAGCATGATTCTCCATCATATCAGCATTCTAAACATATCTTTATTTTGTCAATTGGCATAAATTAAGGGTGCTTTTCAGGCGATAAATGGTATTTTAGATACCTGGGTAGGGGGTCATGAAAAAGTTGCAAAAGTCAAAAATTGAGGGTACTCAAACAGCCAAACTATCCGAAATATCGTTATTTGTATGATAGCTTTATAAAATCAACTAAACATTTTATGGTTCCCCTAAACTTTTAACAAATTGAAATTTCGATTTCATTTAATTGATTATCAAATAGTAATTTTGTTAAGATTAAATTATTAAATAGCTGATATGATATCGATCTGATCTATTTAAGAATGAGTATTTATGAATCTAAATTTAATAAAAATACAAAATTTATTCTTACATCTCCCTCTTTATCTAATTAGATGAATACTCAGATTGTTTGTCTTTGAATTATATGATGCTTATCTAAATACTTTGATAATCCCAAAGTTAACAACTATCACAATTGCAGCTACTATAATGGTTCTAGACAATTTGTGATAGTAGAACTTATTATGTGGTTCATACTCCGTCCAATATTGGTTGTCCATCTGAATTGGACTCATTAAAAAGATTAAAGCAGACAAGTATTAGAGTACCCACTTGACAAATGCCTTCTAATTCCTGCAAAAAACAGATTTTGAGCAATATGTTGCTTAAAATTTGATTCTAAAATTTAAAGATAAGAGTATTGGTAAAATCATATTATTGCTATTATATTATTCTTCTCTATTTGGAGAATTTGTGTGAAGTTTTGCATATAATACCTTGATTAGATTTAATAAAAAATTCAACAAAGTTTATATTATGATTTGAGACATATTCATTAGATAAAAATACGGTTAAGCAAGTAAAACAATATTGGCGACCAATAATTTTATTCGATTAGAAGTCGAACATATCACCAAGATCAAGTGGAGCAGCGGCTTCCTCTTCCTTAGCCTCCTCCTTTGGAGCTTCACCAGCGGCAGCAGCTGGGGCAGCAGCAGCGGCGGCCTTAGCGGCAGCGGCGAGGGCTTCTGGATCGGAAAGGAGCTTCTGGAGATCCTCGATCTGCTTCATGTTGTGCTCGATAGCAATAGCAATGGCAGCAATGTCCTTGAAAGCAGAGCCGACAAGGTGTGGAGCAGATGCAGCGCATGGGTAGCCGACAGCGAGGGCGAGGCCTGTAACATTGCGGAGACCTGTGCGGAACTTCTCGCCGAGGACTTCCTCTGTGATAGCGAGGATGGATGGGTCGTACATGTTGCCATGATCGTAGAGAGCCTCGATCTTGAGTGTGTACTTGAATGGCATGATGCCGAGGATGTTGAGGATGTTAGCTTCAGAGGCACCAACCTTTTGGCCTTCCCAGATGAGTTGCTTTTCACCTGTGATTTCGATTGTGCCCTTGAAAATCTTACACTGGATGTTAAGAGCGTGGAGGATCTTGATATCGTTTGGTGACATGGATGTGCGCTGTGGCTGAAGGATGACATCGCATGGAGCGATAGCACCAACTTTAGCAGCGGAACCAAGGCAGTTAGCATCGATAACGTCCTTGATAGCCTTGAAGTTGCCGTTTGTGAAGATAAGGCCAGCACCGTGATAAAGATGCTCTTCAAGCTGTCTGATGCCTGGAAGTTCTTCCTTGAGCTGATCAACAGCACGGCGCATAAGTGAGTTCTTACCGAAGAGAACTTCGCAGCCGTGTTCAGCAAGGCCAGCACGGATGTTGAGAAGCTGGTTAGCTGTAACGTTCATGGATGTGACGACGACAACCTTGTGGTACTTACGGAAGAGAGCGTGGAGCTTTGTGACATAGTCGAGCTTCTTCTGTGGGATATGCTTCTCGTGATGCATAATTCAGATTTGTCAGACCAAAACCGAAAAAAGGTGACGAAATATTTTTTGCAAAAATTTTAATATAATACTTACACAAGCATGACATTCATAATACAAAATTTTGGTTGATGAGACTTCATAATTTTGAATGGACACGTAAAAAGTCGTCATTAGCTTTAATATTATTTCATAAAATGCTCTATCTATAGAATACAAAATTAAACAACTGATAAATAAGCTGTCAATTCCATTTTTTGAGATTTTGGAATTCAATTCTTTAAGATAGTTCGTTTTTAATGTCATTATACGAATGCACTCATTAATGGTAATTCAACACTTTAGTGATTATGAGATTTTAAGGGATAACAAATCAAAATCTTTTGTTATGTCACTTTTGTTGTTTATAATTTCGAAAAAATGGATTTAAATGTTGATGCTATTATATCGAATATTAGAAATGGAAAGCTTATTCAAGAACATGAAGCTATAGCATTACTTACCAAACTCCAAGAAATCTTATTTACAGAGGCAAATATCTTAGAATTGACATCTCCTATTACAATTTGCGGTGATATTCACGGACAGTTGTACGATTTATTCCAGTTGTTCGAAACTACAACTCCTAAAGGTGTTAGTTCAACAAAATGGCTTTTTATGGGCGATTATGTTGATCGAGGTAGATTTTCAATGGAAACATTTGCTTATTTAGCAGCACATAAGATAAAATATCCAAAACAATTCTTTTTACTCCGTGGAAACCACGAATGCCGTCAAGTTAATCAAAAATACGGATTTTACGAAGAAACATTATCAAATTTTGGCCATAGTGGCATTTGGTCACTATGCAATGAAGCTTTCGATCTACTTCCTGTTGCTGCCGTCATAGATAACAAAATTTTTAGTGTTCATGGCGGTTTGTCTCCTAGTGTCATCATGTATCAAAGTGCATATTTGATGGATCGTCAAGATGAACTTCCTTCCAGCGGTGCTCTTTGCGATTTACTTTGGAGTGATCCAGATACAGATATAAACAGTTGGAAAGAGAGTCCCAGAGGTGCAGGATATCTATTTGGCGAAAGACAAGTCGAAGAGTTCTGTCATAATAATAAAATAGACTTAATTACAAGATCTCACCAACTGGCAGCGAATGGTTATCAATGGTACTTTGACGATAAGCTAATAACTGTCTGGTCAGCGCCCAACTATATGTATAGGTCAGGAAATAAAGCTACGGTTCTTAGATATGAACCTGGACAAGCTAAAGAATATAATTTAATATTCTTCGATTTTTGCCCATTGGATAAGAGAAAAATGCCAATGGATGTTACAATTTCGCCATATTTCTTGTAAAATAAAAATTATTATGTTATTTTATCTAACATTATAAATCAATCACTTCCAATATGTTTTTTGAAGCCAGAATTTATCAACTATCTTTTAAAAACTGACATAAATACATTTTGCATTTACAAAAGATTTTTTTTGTTTATCAACATCTAAAATTATTGAAATTCATTAGCTTAAATCATAAGAACACTTACTAATTTTAAGATCAATGGAGCAATCGTTTGATAAAGAGCTAAATTTAGATTCAACCAATCTTTTCACTAAAGAAACTACAGAAAATGACTCAACATTTAATTTAGAAGAAGATGCAAACATAAACTTAATACAAGTTTTCTTTGAAGATGAATTTACCATTCCCAATATTCATAACTTTATACAAGAATTACTACAAAGTACGAATGATTATACATTATTTCTTACGGAATTTCAAATAGAGCAATTATTTGATTGGCTAGATGAAGATGATTTTGATTTGGATGCCAAACTAATGATTTTAAAGCTTTTAGAATTATACACAATACACTTTAGCACATATTTGCCTTTTAACTTCCCTGATGATGCTCTTTCCATATTATTACCATATAAATTTTCAATATCTGCTCTTAATATTTTTTCAGAGATGATCAGTAGAAAGCATGATACTGTAAATGCCCTTAATAGATTATTCAGCAATGGAATTTTTAACACAATAAATTCAATTTTAGAAAATCCGAATGATTTATGTGATTCAGCATTACGTCTTCTAGCAACAATTTACTCAACAGCCTTTTATGAAATTAATATAGACTTGCCATTCAATTCAATAATGATAAATAAAATATATCTCGTCTTCCCATCAAATTCATTCTTAGTCTTAAAATCTTATATTCACCGATCTGAGGAGAATGCATTAAAATTCATAGAATTTCATGCTACAGATATTTTTTCAAATATTGTTCAATTTCCGGAATCAGTTTTATTTGTTGTCCAATTTTTTAATGAATTAGTATGCCAGATTGATGATTTAAATAATTTACTGGAAGATTATAATATGGCCTATTTTTTTAATTGGATTATTGAAAAATCATCAAATTCAAATAATTTATTTTCCAAATCAATACCATATATTGAAAATATTTTATATAATCATTTTGTATATCATTCTGGTGAAACGGCATCATATATCGTTGATTGGATAATTGAAAATAATTTGTATCAAAATATTATTGAAAATCTATCGTCATGTTCTTCTGAGTGTCATAATAGTTATATTAAAATTCTATGCTACATGCTGGTATATTCAAAACCAAGTCAATGTAATTATTTAATTAATCAGAATCCTCTATTAATAATACTTGGAGAAGAAGTCTCAACGACTAGCAATAAGATAATCACTAATTTAATCTCGCAAGTATTTGAAACCATCAAAAATTTTATTGAATTTCAAATTCAAAGTTCTCAGAAAATTGAGAGCGATACCAAAAAAATTGACATAAATTACACTAGCATTGTGACAATGGACGATAAAAATATTAATTCCACTCGATTCAAATTCAATCATTCAATAATTTTTTTACCACAAAACCTTAGAGAAGAAATAATTGAAATCTTAGATCCTGATGACGAATCTGGATGCTTGAAAAAATTTATCGATGACATGGATGCTTTAATGTTTAATAATTAATTAAACAAATGAATTTTAATTCAATTTTTTATTCAACCATTAATTGTATAAAATGCATTATTCGTATCATATACATATTTATAATTCTTGTGAATATAATTCCAATTCTTTCATATTTCCAAGAAATAAATCTTTTTGACTTCCAAAAGATATGATATCACCAATTAAATACACACTAGATTAAGATGAGATATTCTAATATATCAATTGAAATTTAAAGTCAATAAAGTTTTTTACCAAAAAATATAAATGAACTTTTCAATTTCAAAATTTGACACTAAATTTGGATTAGCAGAGTTCATTGCACAATCTTTTTCATTGCAAATCAAATCAAATTGTAAAAAAGATTTTGACATACTTTCATTTCACTTTTTTTTCAAAGCAATTGAATTCTCATTCAAAAGTGTTTACCCAAAGTGCAATTTGGCTGAATGAGCGAAGAAGTGAAGGAGATGGAGCTGCTTGCAAAAATGAAAGAAATTCGATTCGATCCAAAAAACTGCAATGGTTATAAATGGATAATCATTAATTTACAAAAACAACCAAATTTCACAGAATTAAAAACATTCTGCACAACCATATCACAGCTTTCAAGCATTCCGATATACAGAGAATACTATCGCAGAAAGAAATCCTGCATTTTCTGGGTAGAGGAAAATCTTGACCAAATAAACTCATTTGTCAAGAATAACAAAGTTGAAATTCAAGTATTTTGCGATAGAGACAAGGAAAATAAGTACTTGCAAATCAAGCCGCTTGAATCCTTTGTTTTGTAGATCATTTTTGTTTATTATACAATTACTCTAAGGTTGCAAAAAGCGGGGAACGATACAGAAATTGAGAGAACCCGGCCCCTTAAGCGAGAACCCAGCACGGGGAAATGAACGATATAAAATGTAGTTTTTTCCTTATTTTTATCTCAATTTTTAATTTTTGAGAGGAAAAATTCAAGAAAAATATAGAGTTTAACGAGAAAAACATATGTATTTTGAGTACTCTTTCTATATTTTATTAAACAAAGAAATCAAAAATTCTCCGCTACGCGGCAATATTTTTGGAAACCCACTTTTCTAACCGTGGGTTAACTCAATTTTTTGAGAACTTTGAGAGGAAAACCGAACCCATTTACGGCTGGGGCGTTATATCTCGCTATCCAATCTTTTTCAGACCGTTAGAATTGCACATTGACCGCCGGGTTACCGAACCCACATCCATTAGTGCAATTTCCAATTCGGTTTAAGATCATTTTATTCTATAGCAAAATTCATGATAATATAGGGTGTCCAAAGGTGTGTTTAGCACAAACCTGAATACTGCGAATAGAAATAAACAAGTTACATATATATAAAGTTTATTTAAATATAATCACCATTGGATTCAATCACGCGTTCGCAGCGATCGATCCAGGCTTGAAAGACACGCTTTAAATCATCATGAGAAAATTGCTCAAATTGCTCTCTTACAAAATTTTCAAGATCATCTGGACTCGCGAATTCGCGTCCTTCAGCTCTCTTTTTTAGCGTGCCGAATAAATAAAAGTCAGAGGGTGCAATATCAGGTGAATAAATTGGGTTTGGAACAACTTTGACATTGTTTTCCACCAAGTAATTCATTACCTTATGACTTTTGTGAACTCTTGAATTATCAAAATGAATTGCAAACTTTTGTTTTTGTTGTTTGGATTTCTCAAACTCATCAGAATTGATAATTTGAGTAAGAACATTGTCAATTAGATACTGAGCATTCATCGTATTAGGTTTTTGAAGAATATCAATTGCGATGATGCCATTCACACCCCAAAAAACCGACAACATCATCATTGGTGTGTCAATTTTTTTCTTCGGGAATGTTTGCGGATTTTCATCCTTCGGGATCCACATGATTTTGGCTTCTGTTGCATATTGAAACCAAGACTCGTCCCCTGTTACTAAAAAGCGAAACTTCTTGGATTGATACGCACGCAATATAGAGAGGAGCTCTTTCGAAGATTGGACTCTAGATTTTTTTTGAACTGAATTAAGGTTGTGCGGAACCCAACGTGTATACGCTAGTTTGTAGTTCAAATAATTGTGCAGATAATAACGGACTGTTGTACGTGGTATCTTTGTCATCTCCTCTATCCTTCTGAGTGATGCTCTTGGGTCTTCATCTAGCGCTTGAAGAATTGCTTTGATTTTTCTTTGATCCGGCGATTTTTTGTCAATTTTTATGATGGGCGCCTTTTTGTTCATGAAGTGATACATCCTAACATGATACGTTACAGTGGAATAGCTAGGAGCATCCATACCGAAGCATTTTACCAATGTCTCGTAGATTTTTTACAGTCTTTGCATTTTTTTGCAAGAGCGAGGATGTTTTCTTTATGATTCATTAAAAAAATGAAAAAAATCCCGCCAAAATTTCCCGCGAAACCGCCTCTTGTCTCAAAATTCATTTTATATCCCGGCATGGCGCCAAAATACAACATACTCATCATATACATATATTCATATTTTTTATTATATATTTATAATCAGCATATATCTCCTTTAATAGTCTCATATAGAGCGCTGTGCTAAACGCACCTTTGGACACCCTATAGAATGCATTGGAAAATTCATCAGATGCACGGCAATACTGCACAAGAAGATCAATAGTATTTGCAGCAGTCGTTTCATCTCTCTCGAGGAGATGGACCGTAATAAACAGAAATTCATCAAAAGTGACAGCTCTCAATTTTTTGACATTTGTAAATTCTAAATTGAACGAGAAAAATGAAATAATACTAAGCATAATACAATATTCTAGATTTAATTATAATTAAAAAAAAAAAGGTAGTGGGGCCTCCAGGCACTTCGTGCCCTCTAGCCCTGAAGATGTTTAGTATAACTTTGTCCGGACAAGTAAGGGTCTATCGTCGCTACAGGAAAAGTTACGGGCGTTCCAAGGAAGTATACTTTGAGAAGCCTTTTCTCCTTATAGAATGAGATAGGACGGTTATTTTACAAAACTGACAACACTTTGACCGAGTAGTTTTTTGTGCTGAACAAATAGTGTCATATAAACATCTGTCAAAAACCGTTTTTTACTTCACTTAAAATGCCACGTAAGCTACGTAAGAATATACGTAAGAGGAAGAGAGCATTGAAACATCCAATAGTAAAACTGACACCACAACAACAGTTGCAACAACAAATGATGAATGACCCCACTATGTTGCAACAAATGTCAAGCAACCCTATGCTTTTAAACCGAGTTATTGGTGCACAGAGTGGAGGTTTAAGAGCGGCACTTTTAGCGAAAATGGCAGGCTATGGTGGAGCTGCAGACGGAACAGCTTATAACCCTCAAAGTCAAATGA